GCATCTCATTGCCGTGCATCTCTGAATCTATCCATTAAATTAATATACGCTTTTATTGTTCACTGTAGAGCCGAGAGCCGCGTCGAAAGAGGAAATATGCTCCCGGCCACTTGGAAACAGAATTCATCAGGAGTAATAAAGCAGGAAACGTACCGTGCATTTCATTGCTATGCATCTCATTATTATGCATTTCATTGCTATGCATATGCATGCCTTTCATTTCGTGCATCTTGTGCATTTCATTCATCTTCTCCCTTAGTCCAGCGGCGTCGGCATCGAAAGTAATAGCAGATACCGTTCCAACATAGTCAAGTGGGAGACCATTCTTCATCATCGCCTCACAGTGCTTGACATGGCCCTCTGTATCCGAGCGAGCTTCCATAACAACACCAGTCCATCTAGTTCTGAGCGACTTACGCCAGTTGTAGGTGCAGTGAGCAAGGTGCCACGCCTGGGTGTTGTAATAGTAGATACCAGTATCAGCAAGAGCGGCAACTTGGTCGAGTGTGTAGGTACCAGTCTTCTTCGAGTCGGTGTAGTAGTTCCATGATCCATCAGCTTCTGGGCCAGCTCGGTTGAACTCAGCAGTGAGATCTTCGTCGATACAGGCTGGTCGAAGCCATGCCGAGGCCAAGGAGTCGAATCTGCAGTTCAAGGCCCTGGCTTCAGCAAGAGAACTACCACAAGCACAAGATACTCTCTGTGGCTTGTGGAAAGTCTTGTAAAGCTTAGTGGAAACATTGACGGTACTCCAGATGGTGAGCCATGATATGAGGAGTCGAAGAGCCACCCGACCTAAGCGAGAACGGCGTGTTCTTTGAGGCTTGACTTGATGTTCGATGTCCAATTCATCGAATGAGGAGTCGGTACTGAGTCTACGACTGAGGAGTTTCTCTGACTCCATGTTTGTGTTTGTTTCGAGAAGTTTGGTATGATAGAATGATAAATGTGTCCCGGGAGTAACGAACTACTGGGGATCTCTCCTCCGGCTGTAGCTGGGAGTAACCATATATAAGACACCCCATCGTCGAGCTTCTAACGTAAAATGCTTATCTGATTCTGAGAAAGGAAGAGGGATTCCCTGTCGAAGTCGAAGTGTGGTACTGGTCGTTCCCCGTCTGTAATGGGATAATTTGTGCGAGCTGCAGACAAGAACGCGGGGTGACGACGGCCAAATCCTAAACCAAAATATTTAGAGACTAAAGAAGCAGTAAATTTACTGGTAAGTTGTAGTGTCAGTGTATTTATCATACATCTGGTTCTTGACTGTAAGTATGGTCATATGCATGGCAAGACTCTGACATGCTAATCAAATCTTACAGATTTACACTCTATTAGACTTTGAATATAGGGAACTGAGAACTTGATGGACTCTCCTTGTCTGGTGAGACTTCTTTTTCATATGATCATAGATCGCTTGTGCTAAAGTCTAGAGAATGCTACACTATCAAAGCGTCTTCGAAATACTTACTAATCACTCAAGAACCAAGTATCACAGCCTAAGATTATTGTGAACTCAAGAAAGAAAATTAACTATATCATTAATAATACAGGTCCTGAATCTACCAATTACTGGTAAGCATTTGAGGAAGCGCTTAATTGGAGTATGGGTGATAACCGGACAAGCTGTGATTCGCTGCACATCAGCACGTTTCTGTATGCCATGCAGCATTTGAACACTTATGAGTTATGTTTGGTACGCTATGCAGATATGTTCTCCATCCCGATTGTAACGATTGATCCGTGTCATAGGGGTTCTGAACCTTGTCATGTAAGCCGAAATCGGTAAGTTATTGTCCATCAAATAACCCCGGTACTAACGCGGGGTAGACCGCTTCAAATACTAGGATTAGGACTGGGTGGTTCGGTGACCCTAGTTCTACTAGCTCTTTCAACTACCGAAGCTAACTTGCTTCGAACTATGAAACGGAAGTCTTAGAAACATCGTGCTCATGATAGTCTCGGCAAAGCGTCAATGGCGGTCTGAAAGAAAAAATATTAAACTCCCATGTTGTACAAAACGTTCAAAGCATTTATGCAAATCGAGAGGCGAGCAATGTTTTTCTGCAAAAGCAATTCGTTCCTAGGTCTTACACACTCTCTCTCATTGGTTTCCTTCATTATGGTACGGAATATTCGGAGACGGACTCTACTTAGATCCGAGCATACTGTGCCACGGTGAAGCCTTGCTTATCTTCTGCAGTTTTGACAGCAAGTCACTTCAACACTTACATGCAGGATGACCGCTTCAAATGCGGAGAGCTATCCGTATTTCCAAGCGGTTGACAGCAGTTTGACCACACGTCAGGATTTAGAGACTCAGAGAGCCACGCAATATTTCACGTAAAATTTTGAGTCTCTCAGTTTCTCATTGGCTGAGATGTAAGTCGAGTTCCAGGTGAGATGTTCGGCGACCTGGAACCATAGGAATAAATTTTCAAACAACGATCCGATCACATTTATCAGATCACGGGTGGAGATAATAATTGCGAAATGTGAAGTCTGGCTACGTCTGTTCTCAAATTCAGATCAGTCGTTGGGAAATATATGTTGGTAAGATAGTAACGACTAATACCACAAAACTAGGTAAATTTTTGCTATCCAAGTGGGTTATCTCATCAGTGAGGCACCGATAGAAAGTATCTACTGAGCGTTTCACTAGCTAGGAACAGACCCAGACTTACATCAGTTTGAGACCAAATAACGTGCTGTGCCTCACTAGAACATGGACCACGAGCGGATAATAAGTATAAAGGCATCAAGTCAAACAGATCATGCCGGCGATTCGGACAGCACATCGCATCCAAGACTACGCCTCTACGCCAGCACTATGCCTTCCGCAAATACCGAAACCGACACTTCCCAGAAAAAACTTGCAAATACTGGTTATAAGGAGATTTTTACGGGCCCCGGTGGCTTTGATAGGGAGATAGAAGAGGTTGGAAATCATATTTATCCTCCAGCGTCAGTAAGTTCTCATTGATTCCAACCACCCCAGATACTGCATGCATACTGAATTCTCCGTAGCATCCTAATTACCTTCCTACTTGGGATCCTAAGCAGAAGTTCCCACCACTTCAACCATTCAGACATGTGGAACACGGTCTCGATGCCGACAAAAATTTCCCAGATCTCCTACCATCTGACGTTCAAAAGGAGGATCTGACACCGACAATTGGTTCAGTCGTGCGAGGGATCCAACTTAGCCGCCTGAACAATGCAGGGCGAGATCAACTAGCACTTCTCACTGCACAACGGAGAGTTCTTGTTTTCCCAGACCAAGACTTTGCTTCATTACCGATCAGCGATGCAACGGCCTTCGCTGCATACTATGGCCGTTTACACGTCATGTCTATCAGCGGTGCTCCTGAGGGATTTCCTGAAATCCACATCGTTCACCGCGGCGCTGGTGATATGAAAGTCCAAGGCTTATTGGCGGGCAGAACTACATCTGTTACTTGGCATAGTGATGTGACCTATGAAGAGCAACCGCCAGGTACTACGATCATGTACATGCTCGACGGACCTCAAGTTGGTGGAGATACTCTTTTCTCCGATAACGCTGAGGCGTACAGACGATTGAGTTACCCGATGCAGAAACGACTTCACGGACTTACTGCAATGCACTCTGGGGTTGAGCAGGTTGAATCAAGTCGGTTGATGGGGGGTATCGTTAGGCGGGAGCCAGTTATCTCTGAACACCCCATTGTGAGAACACATCCTGTGACTGGAGAGAAAGCACTTTTTGTAAATCCACAATGTAAGTCTTTCTTTCTTATCATGATGCTCTCGAGCAAGCTGACGTGTCTTCTTCAGATACACGGTACATTGTTGGTCTCAAGAAGGAAGAGAGTGACATGCTCTTGAAGTAAGTCAATCTCGCCAAGATAATTAGTTCCACTTTCCTGACATCTTTTTGAAGGTTTCTCTACGATCATATTGCTTTTGGATCAGATTTCCACGCTAGAGTAAAGTGGCAGAAAGGGGCGGTGATCCTCTTTGATGTAAGTGTTTGCTCTTCGCTGAGAATTTCCTCCATCATCCGAGCTGACACTTGCCAGAATCGTCTTGTAAATCACTCGGGAATGCTTGACTGGGCATCTGTAAGTAAACAGTCCATGTTCAGAAACACTCACTAATGAAACACAGGGTGAGCGCCGTCATCTTGCCCGTCTCACGCCGCAGGCTGAAAAGCCGTATGAAACACCAATCGGACCACAACGTAGTTCTAAGCTTTAGATTATCATAAGCGCTAGGTTGCTTCAATTTATGGCCGTGTTCCCCGCATAATCCTGATTTATTTGAGAATCCGTTGTAGATTACGACCATCACCAACGATCATCTTCTAAGCACACTATTGTGTTACCGACGATCTCAAAAGTAGCAATCGGTGACAGTTTCGTATTGAGAATTCTAAATTCCATAGCATACTTCTGCATCGCGTTGCAGTTGTTTCCTGTAGAGACATTCAACTGATAAGCTCTTGACCTCTTGAATGAAGCCAACAAGAATACCAACTTCAAGCAATTGGAAGTCTGCATAGATGATACCACATAAAAAGCAAAGATAACGAGTGAGGTTGACTCGTGACATAGGTGCGGTGTTAATGTCTTGAATTTGTGGTGATTTACTTCCGTAATATTGACTTGTATCTAAGCAATCGGTGATTCTAAAATCCACGAACTACAAACTCCATAAACAGCCAGCCTAGTAGTCAAGGAATGAAGTCAAAAATGGGTGCTCGTATTTCCTCGTACCCCGATTGGCGAAGTATATACGTACATTTAGCACTCTGTACGGTAAAGATCAACCAAGTGTGGGGGTAAGCCTGCGGGAGGTGAGGTGCAGCAAACCCCAGTTTCCACCAACAGCTTCGCCGCTCAACCACCTCAGCGCCATGCCCGCTGACCACGACTTATCTCTTCCACTCTCGACCAAGCAAGATTAGAAAACTTGGACGGACTCGTTGGGTACCTTTTCGATACCCCAAAAGCCATGTCGAAAGAAACAGAGATTGTGGTCGAGGAGGGAAAGCAGGATAGTAGTGCGTCTACCGAGATCGAAGCGGAGTTGGGGACTTCGACTACAGTCTTTGCTGGGCATGATCATGTTGAGGAAAGCCATGGCTTGCTAATACGTTTGTTGCTCAAACTGCGTACCAGAAATCCAGACGCTACTGGTCCTCCACCTGACCATGGATTTACGGCGTGGTCTCAGGTTGCGCTGTGTCACTTAGCGATGTTCAATACATGGGGAATAATTAACAGCTACGGAGTCTTTCAAACACACTATACAACCACTTTGTCCCTTCCACCATCGACAATATCATGGATTGGTTCTCTTCAAATCTTTCTGCTCTTCTTCTTGGGTAGCTTTTCAGGTCGAGCGACGGATGCTGGATACTTCCGACCAGTATTCATCCTCGGTACATTACTCCAGCTCCTCGGCACCTTCTCATTGTCTGGCGCGACCAAATACTGGCAGATTCTGCTTGCTCAAGGAATATGTACAGGTGTGGGAAATGGACTTGTATTTTGTCCTGCTTTTGCTATCCTCTCCGGATATTTTGCGCGAAATAGGGCACTAGCGATTGGAATCGCAGCTTCTGGCTCTGCCACTGGAGGTGTGATATTTCCTGCTATCGCCTCTCGATTGCTTCCCAGAATTGGCTTTCCGTGGACTGTGAGGGTTATCGGGTTTGTCATGCTGAGTACAGCATGCTTGACCGTCCCTTTCTTCAAGTCAAGACTTGGCCCAAGACGTACTGGGCCTTTCTTGGAGCCAGGAGCCTTCAAAGAGTTGCCATATCTACTGTTTAGTATTAGCATGTTCCTAACATTTTGGGGCTTGTATTTTGCATTTTACTATGTCGGAATATGGGCGAAGCAGGTACTTGGTACAAGCAACACTACAACGATTGATGTGCTCAGTGTCATGAATGGCTTAGGTCTTTTCGGCCGATTACTGCCTGGATTTATATCTGATCGATACACTGGACCCCTGAACACTCTGCTTCCCTTCGTTGCATTTTCCAGCATTTGTTTGTTCTGCTGGTCCGCGGTGAAGGGCGTCGGTGGTCTCTATGCCTTCGCTGTCTTTTATGGTTTCTTTGCAGCTGGAATCCAAAGTCTATTTCTAGCTACTCTTGGAAGCTTGACGAAAGATCCAAAGAAACAAGGTGTGAGAATGGGTATGATGCTAGGCGTTATAAGTGTGCCGGCTTTGACGGGCTCACCACTCGGTGGCGCGTTGGTACAGAAAGGAGATGGTACATATTTGTACGCGCAGATGTTTGCGGGTGCATCGATGGCGTTGGGTTTTGCATTCTTAATCGCGGCGAGGGTAGCATCGGTTGGTTGGAAATTGAAAGCGAAACTTTAGAGACGACTTTCATATGTACATAGGACAAATATCCGAGAGAATTTAAATGTTTCTCTGCAATAGTGGGCGGAGATTTGTTATGAGATGCTCTGAAAGTCGTAGCATAGGAGCCAATTTCCATAAAGAGTTACAGGTTCATGATCTAATGAAATCTCAGAGATCTCATGGTAGGTTTGTCACTAAAAATTGTCCAGAATGGCCTCGAGACCCAACGCTCCGTTAGAAATTTAGAATTTCAATAAACACAGGAAATTTACAAGAAGATGGCCCACAAATTTATTCTCGACTGAAAGTAGGAGAAAAAGGATTAGAAGTTGAACTTGTGGAGTGGAATTCGTTCATATTTCCTGCAAGTAATAGGCTATCCATGAGGAGGAAAGCCCTACATCTAGCAAACGTACTAATATGTAAAGTTCATCCTTCCTCGCTTTTCTGTTTTCCACGTATGACAGGAACTCGCGGTTCTGCTCAACTGTGAGACCCCTGATTCCCAACGCTACTCCCAAGCTCTTCTGAAGTCGATTTCGCGTTATCATGGGCATCTCTTCTTAATCCACTCTTCTGCTGTGATTTCTGGGACATTTTGCATGAATTTGGCCAGGTTTTCCTTTGCAAATGGCGACTCTTTGTCATCTCTTGGAATGTAATTCGTGAAGCCGTCCTGGACACACTCTCTCACAATTTCTCCACCATTTTCTAAGATTGACAGCCACGCCTCGCGCTCAGTCGTGTTTTTGTCTTCAGTATGTCGCCCTTTTCGCAACGGCCCATCTGCCGCTATTAACCTTTTGAACAAGACCCTAAGTTCGGAATTAGGCGTCGTGTTCTCAAACACATATTTGACTTCCGGCAATTCGTAAGGAGACTCGTCATCATAAAAGATAAGACACGCATTGATGACGCTGTTCGCAAATGATGGACACATAAGTTTGTCTCCGAGAACCCATAGTGAAAGAACATTGAGCTTACGCTCATGAGTTTCCGGTCCATTTTCTCTCCCATGAGAACAAATCTCAACGCCGTTGCTATCGTACTCGTGGGTGTTCTTTATTTCAACGACACCGCGATTGCACGCAATCATCAAACTACCAATGTACAACCACGCCACGAAGCATTTCATATTCTCCACCTTCTCGTCAGGCAGAGAAATCTCCATGGCAGCAGCTTCACTGAAACCGCCGTAGAGCGCGGCTTCGAAGAATCTTGAAAAGTAACCAAGCAGGGCCTTATGACAAGTGATTCGTACTTTCTCCTCTCCAACAATCAATGTTACAATTTCCGAATTTGCTGCCAATCTACCACCCTGGTCAGTAAAATTTACCAATAACAATAAGAAGGTCAGGCTTACAGTTGTGCTACAACAGTTCCATGTTCATATATTTCCTCGAACATGTCCTCTAAGAGCTCGCAATCTTTCAACAAAGAGCTGTTCTCTTGGCATTCTAAACACTTCTTCGTTGGCGCCGCGGCTGGGCTTGAGACTACCGAGTTCGAGGCCCCCATGGTTGTAGGCTAGTAGTAGTCTAAGCTCAATTGATCAGAGAGGACGTTGCTTGTTTGCTAAAGAGTAGATGAAGTCGTGGTATGTGATGTCTTTTACTCTTGACTCAGGAAATGTGCGCACCGTGTAGCAGGAAGCAAACGCTCGAGGCGATTGCTTAAATAACACAAAATTGTAAGACTGATTCATCTAAGAGTAACTTTGTAAGACTCGATGAGTGGTTACTATTGATTGAGGCCAGTGAATTTGTTGTTTACTACAAAGTGTTAAAATCAAAGTCTGTTCCAAAAATCGGAGACAACCCAACTCTCTAATCCCCGAGCTCTGTTCTCACGACATTGCGCTATAACACACAACAAAGCTGATCATTACACGCTCACCGAGTGATTGAATTATTACACTATGGTTTCTCTAATTAAAGCCTCCTTTTCTCTGCCAGGAACTACAGTGAACCCAAATACCTTCCGAGTAGCTTCCTCTAATACTCTCAGCGTACTGACTTCGAACAGAAGTGTACTAATACATTAATCAGTGCAACAATCCATGTAGTTAGCCTATGTTACGCATGAGATGCCTATGCCTAAGCATCCTAGATAGACCTTGGATATCTCTTCTTAATCCAAGCCTTAACTTCAAGACTTCTAGTTTTCTGCAAATACCTCTCATAATTCATCCCTCCCCACGGCTGTCTCTTATTAGATTTCCTCGAGTTCGTGAACCCGTCCTGAATACATTCCTTCACCAGCTCACCCCCCTTTGCCAAGAGCAATATCCATTCTTCGTGGTCAGCCGATTGGAGTGTGAATCGTAGAGGTCCGTTGCCTGCGATCAGATCTTTGTAGAGAAGTCTGAGTTTAGATTTACGTTTGGTATTGGCGTATACAAACTCTGTGTCTGGAAATCCATAAGGGTAATTCTCAAAATACCGGATCATGTATTGATCGTGTAGTTGGTAAATTCTGGACATTTGAGCTTGTGTCCAAGTGTCCACATTTGCGCGTGGTAGACCTCGCGTGTGACGAAATTAGACCTAGGAAAGAGATTCGTAACGTCGTCGGTGTCTTCATCTAGTGGTTGGGGGACATCATCTATTAAATTTTCGCTCTCTACGGGAAGAGGATGATCAGGCTCGTCTGCGTCGAGTGCGAGGAAAACATGGGTTGTTAGAACATTGCTGTATAGTTGTTTCAAGACAGAGGAGTCATTTTCTTCGGTAGGCGAGTCAGACGCATCGTCGGCCAAAGCTTCTTCGGGATTGGCGTTGACTGGAGCATCTGGATCGAGTGTATTATTCTCAGCAATAATTCCTCCGACCATTTCTTCGTCAGAACCAACTTCGTCGGGAATCTCTTCCTCAGTGGTGTCTTCGCCAAGCATTTCTTTTTCAGAAATATCTTCATAGGGCAATACTTTCTCAGCAATATCTTCATCGAACATTTCCTCTTCGGAACTGGCTTCATCGTTTATCTCTTCCTCCGACCGGTCTTCATCTGGCACCTCTTCCTCAGGAACGTCTTCGTCAAGCATCTCCGCACCAATGGAGTCCTCTTCGAGCTCGTCCTCCTCAACGAGTTCATGGCTGGTCTCTGATTTTTTAGGAACATATTCCTCCTGCCAGTCCTGTTCGTTTTCATCAAACACTGACGGAACACCGTCTGTTGTATCTTCGTCGGAAATTGAGACATCATCAGCAAAGACATTTTGAGATGGCCTATTATTCAAGGCCTAATTTTTCAGCAGCCCATCAATGTCCTGTTGGAAAGGAGTCTGCCCAGTATACAGCCAGGTCACAAAGTCTTGTACTTGGTACGGTTCTTCATCTGGCAAACACAATTCTGCTTTCGCAGCCTCGAAAGATTCATGATAAAGTTCCGATTCAAAAAACCTCGAGAAAAATCCAAGCAGAGCTTTATGGCATGGTATCCGCACTCTTTGTACTCCTACGAGTAAAGAAACCATATCAGGTGACGCTCTGATGCTACAAGACGTCAGTTTTGAAGAGTAGAAAGTGTTAAGATGGATAATGATACTGACAGTTCGTATACCGTAGTCACATGTGTACGGGTTGCAATAAAATCCTGTACCGATTTCTCTACCCTGGACTCGCAGTCGATACATGATTCTTCGGAGGGGCATTCGCCTTCGCAAGCCATAATGAGTATTGAACGTCGAACTGTCTTAGAATGGAGAGGAGTTATTTTGGTGTGACTACTAAGTGATAATCAAATCAAATAGCTGTTGGAATCATTAGGCAGAATATCTGTCGTACGAATGAGCACGTTTTCGAAGAAAAGGGGGTGCATCAAATGGGACATACCCGAAAGTTATTTTGTAGACCCTTTATTTTGATATCGAAAGTCAGCTTATTGCTTTCAAACTGACGAAGGATTGATCTCCAAGTTTTAACACAGCTTCGTCTTATGCAGAGGACTGGTGAGATGTCTTTCCTTCCGAAAGCGATCGTGTTGGTAGTCGTTGCATTAATCCTTGTCTCACGAAATTACATCCCGTTTGGACCCCTTGAACATGGACCTCCTGGACCCTTACCTAATCATCTCTGGACGACCACCATGGGACATCAGTATCTGCTTTCACCATTTTTGTACCTTATCCTTTGTTAAACAATCGGAACGTATCAAAACACCGTGAACGTAATAATACTGAGTCGAAAAATGTAAGAGATAAATCTTGATCTCGCTTAAAGATCATCCAATAGAGTTATCCACTTCGACAAATCGACTACTCAGTTTTATACAGCATGGACTCAGCTTAATTTCGCGGACGAAGTTTCTAGGGCTCAAATCATGAATCCCTCCCTTCACCCTTCAAAACATCGCTCTCCATTTCCGCAAATTTCTCCAAAATATTACCGTACTTCTTCCACGTCTGAGGTCTATACCCCTCATCAACCTTAACCACAGCCTCACTCTCCCTCCATCGCTGCCCAATACACTCTTCAAAACTTTCGCCATTGATAAACTTTCCATCGCTACCCTTCTCTCCACCCTTTCTCTCGATCGCCCAGACAGCTTTATACGCACCTCCAAGCGCACATGCATTTCCACCAACATCTAGTTTCCACACGCCCTCAGCGCCACCCAGAACATCGCCTACGAGACGTGCTATAGCGGGATTTAAAGAGCCACCGCCTACAAGGTAGATTCTCCGTGGTTGAGGTGGAAGATCTTTGTGTGGAGAGACAAGCTTTTGGGAACGGAGTCGGAGGGAGAGGATTTGTGACTCTACGATTGCGCGGGCGTCTGCTTCGGGTTGCCAAGGTTGGGTGGCAGGTGTGAGCTTTTGAGATGATGGAGAGATGGTGTAGCGATATGTACCAGCTCGGACGTTGGGAACGATTTCGTGGAGAGGGAAGTAGAGCCCTAATTTTGCTTCGTCTGTGGAAGAGGATTGGCCGAGTGGTGGGGTGGAAAGAGCTGTTTCGTTGAACGTAGACCATGGATCTTTGGTCTTGGAGGGAATAAGAGTGTCTCTGATTTTCTCGCGTGCTAGACCCCCGTTTTTGTAGCAAAGCATGAACATGTATAGTCCAGCGGTCGTTGGGTGGTTAAAGAAATGATATAATGGATCAGGAAGGTATGTTGGTGTAGACATGAGAAACGTCGTCGATGTCCCTAAGGAAACAATGGCATCCAATGGTCGCAGAGGGAGTGATAGAATAGTGGCTGGGTTGTCTCCTGTAAATGGGACGACTCCGCACTCAGGAGAGAAGTTGAAACGAGAGACGAAGTATGGGGCCACAGGTCCCATTGAGCCACCACCATCCTCGCGAACCTCTCCTAGCTTTGCTTTGAGCTCTTGCAATCCTTCCTTTCCGGCAGCGAGAGAGAGAAGTGGTTCGCTCCAGCTCCCAGCGTTAATGTCCCACAAGTTCATACCACATACATCACTTATATCGATTGGAGCAATTTTCCCGAGAAATACAGACGCCAGGAAAGAAGAAACCAGACCGATACGAGCAGTTGCTTTGTAAACTTCTGGAAACTTTTCTCGAAACCTCATTATTTGTGGTCCCGTGAACCGCTACATCTTTTGTCAGCTGATTTATAATGTTTTGGCAGAGAGAACAATCGGACGACGACGTACATGATGAGCATTACTTCCAGTCACCTGGGCCAGTTTTTCGGATGATCCAAGAGCATCGTCAAAAGCATCGCACTCCTTTTGAGTGCTTGCATCTTGCCAATTTGGGCTATATGGATGAGCGAACGCATCCTTTGACAATTGGTTCACCAAAGTCTCATCTGGATTGAGAGATTTTAATTCCTCCTCTCCTTTGTTACTCCAGTAGACACTTCCATGTTGCTGACCAGCTCCTGAAATTCCCTTGATCCGGTGAAATGGGACATGCTTGTCCTTTAGTCTTTGGAGGACAAGGTCAATCGCTTCTAACCACATAGCCACAGGAGCTATGACTTCTCGCTCGGCTTCATTGACAAGAACACCTTTCTTGATGCCATATTTACTGAGATCCGCGTCAAAATCGGCTTTGGCTTCATAAAGAACCTTTAACTCAGAAGTAATGATAATTGCTAACAAGGTTCGTCAGCTACTTGTTGATTTCGATTTACAGGCAGCTGTTACCTTTCAATTGCTGCGTAGACAAGTCGAAACCAAGATACAAAGGTCCTTCTTGATTAGACATAGTGAAGACTGATGATCCAAAACGATGAGAAGAATTGTATTAAATCCACGTCGACGTGTGCGGCTGCAGATTTTGGGGTTAGTTTATTGTATGACAAAAATCCCAAACAATGCATGGCGAGAGCTCTAGTGGGGCAGGTCTATTTAGCCTGAATGTCCCGCTGTGGCGCCCTGGCGTCGCTCCATAGATATACCCGTGCGAATGATAGGAAGAGAAAATGAGGGGAATCTAGAGCAAAATATTTATATATGTATAAATCTGTGACATAGCAGCTCTTGACCCATCCAAACCAGCCGCCCACTCAAACGCCATTTCTCTTGTATAAATGCAGCCGTGCCCAGAGTCTTGTGGGACTTTGGAGAAAACGCCTTCCCACATGAACACTCGCCCAAAAAACCCAACCAAGCATTCGATAATGTACAGTCACCTACCTATTATTGACCCTTTTTACCATTTACGCCATTTCTATGTGTTTGGTCGTGGCTGTGGTCGTGGTCGTGATCATGGTCGTGCTCTTCTGGTTCTGGGCTGGATCTTTGGCTCAAATCTCCCGGGATGAATTCGTCGAAGAGCGTCGCTTTATCGTCATCTTTTGGCACGAAGCGGACCTTCACCCGGCGAACCCCACGAACCTTCGTCCCAACTCTCTGTCTGAGCCCCTCTTCTACCTCTCTCATGTCTTCCACCGTCCATGTGTTTGGTACAGCCAGTTGTACATCAACAAGATAATTCTGTCCAGATTTGACACCCTCAACCTCTCGTAGTTCCACCTGCGATCCTTGAGCTAATGAATCTATGCTCTTCTTCGCGGCTTTAGTGATCGATGCTTTGGTTTCTTCGTCAATGCCCTTATCCGCCAGTTCGTAGAGCGCGGAAACTGTGTTGCCCCATCCGCCCTTGATAACAAGAAGAGATATTAAAAGTCCACCGATCGGATCCAACCACGCTGCATTCTGGAGGAAGTTCGCGCCGAGGATAGCGAAGAGCGTGACAATGCCGGTAAGAGAGTCGACTCGGTGGTGGATGGCATTGGAGGCAAGGACAGAGGATTTTCGTTCCTTTGCAACTTTCATGGCTGAGAGATACTAATTAGCTTGGGGCAGAAAAAAGACAGGCAGTATCTGGGACACATACTTGCTTGGTATAACCACTCTTTCAAGACTACAGTTCCTGCAGCTAGCCATGCCGCGTGAAGACTTGGTCCGTCTACAGCATGACTATGACTGTGGCCGTGACTGTGACCGTGTCCATGCATTGCTACCTCTGCTGCCGCGGCAGCGTCTAGGAAGAAATGTGCATATAGAATCTCGCAGCTATTCAGACACATGAAGCATCCGCCGAACAACAGCATACCACTGACACCCAAGGAACCCAAGCTTTCTATCTTTCCAAAACCAGTTGGAAACATTTCTGTAGGGGGTTTCAAACTCCATGACACCGTCGCCAGAGTTAAAATGTCGCTGGCCAAATCTGTCAAGCTATGCCACGCATCAGCAATCATTGCTTGTGAATTGAACGCGTATCCTCCAACGCCCTTCGCCAGTGCCATGCCCAAGTTCGAGTATAATCCAATGCGAGTGATCCGCACCCCCGGGTCCTGCTTGTTCGTCGACGTAAGAAATGAATTGTCATGGTGATGATGATGCGAATGCCCCCCATGAGACCGGGTCTGTGTTTTGGTGATGGCAGCCATAGCTCGATATCTGGGGTTGAAGCCGTTTGTGGATGTTATAAAGTTCGTAAACGATCGTAGATAAGCGACGTGTACTCGCGAAGGAATTGGGCGCGTAGAGTGCTGAAGAGCAGCGGACCGAAGGATGCGAAACTGTTGCTTGTGATGTGTTCTCAACGTCGTTTGAGAATTCAGCCTCAGTGCCGGTGCGACAGGCCTTAACGAGCTGACGCCGCTGGTGAATGAGCGGAAAGGCATTAAATAGTGACAAGTTTCCTTGGAATGAAGGGAGGGGGAAAGGGATATTAACAGAGCCGGGGAGACGCCCCAGTACGTTTGTCCAAATTCGAGATCATCGGCTCTTCAAATACGGGCTGCGGAGGAGGAAAGGGAGAGATGAAGCGGTAATGCGATCACAAGTACAGAATGCAACGCTGAGTCTACAGGTTGAGGAAAGAGTACTTGTATGAAGTGCAAAGTATCTGCCAAGAGATCAAAAATTGTAGGCAAATAGTTCCAGGGCCAATTGCGACACCGCCAGTCATGGAGCTGGAATTGCGAATCGTACGTGAGCAGGGGACAATTCGTCCACTTTCAAAGTCTTCTTGCCGTGTCAGCCCACCATCAATACTCATGTCATGATTATCAAGCGCGTTTCCGAAAAACTTGATGTAGAGCAATTGGTAGCGGCTCGATTGCAAGATATACAAAAGCAATCTCAAATCCTAGGATGACGCGACCGACGGACGTACACGGTTACACCAACGGTTTTCCTTGGACCTCGGGAGGCTTCAACTGGACAACAACCGGATACTGAACGTCCCCTTTTCATCTACAAAGCTTTCCACAACTCACGAATTTAGACGATCATATGTCCATATTTAATAAAAATAAGCTGAAGTAAGAAGGGTACTTTCGTCTATTGCTATTACTTATCAATCAACGCTGGTGGGACTCTACAGCCATTTTGAAGAAATCTTGGAATAGGTTCTAGAAAGCGATTCAAGGTATACACAACATCATGTAAGTGTCCTCTGCAGCTTCACAGATTGTCTTGTTTTTTTAATTGGTACCTTTCCTTTGCAAGTTTTGGAAATACGTCTGCATTTCGTTTCTGGCCTTCTGAGTCGTCTCCTACGTACTATTCCTGCCGGCTCGTAATTGCAAGACGAATCATCGCTGCTCTGTGTTGGTTTGTTAGGAGCCGAGTTGGCATGAATATCTTCATAAAACGATGGGTCGCACCCTCAAAATTCCAATTTCGAACCGTATGATGGATTCGCCTTTCAATTCGTTACTTCGCCAAGTGGCAGAGGGAGCCCCAGAAGCTGCCACTGAAAGGAAAGCGCTGTTAGCTTCTGCCAAAGAGCTGGTGTTGGCTCTAGAACGCCCAGACGATGTCATCGAGCGAGTTTGCGTCCAAGTAAGTGGGCACCATTGTGAAGGAAGCACTACTACTTACAGTCCATCAGCTTTTGGAAACATCAACTATCAAAATCGCCGTTGAGTTGGGTATATTCAAACTGCTTAATGATGAAGCAACGCCCGCTCCTTCAGCGGCATCCATTGCCAGAGACACAAATTCAGATCCTGTTCTCATCGGTAAGTTGATCGTCGAGAAACCAGACTCCCCCTCACAAATAAATAGCTCGTATCATGCGCTGTCTTGCGGCCTTTGGAGCAGTAAAAGAAGACGGAGGCAGTGGATTTCTTTCCACAACTGTAAGCAAAACATTTGCATCGCTTAGAACGAAGCTGCGCTGGAGTCATGCTTCGACCTGTTGGGTCCAGCCTGGATCAGCCTATCATAGCATCTCAAAGATGTCAAGTATCAAAACCCTACGGACCCAAAAGTCACCGCTCTCGGAAAGGCCAACAAGGTTACTGGAGTGACACCCATGGATATCTTCTTCGGCAGCCCCCATCTGAACGCGTTTGTTCTCTACATGGGTACTTTCACCATGGGTCATAAACAATGGACTGAGGTATTTCCTGTAGAGGCAAAAATGATCCAAAGACTTCAAGCTGGAGAGGACTCCGTAACGATGGTCGATGTTGGTGGAGGGTTCGGTCACCAGGCCAACCTGTTGAAGGATACTTTCCCGACTTTACCTGGAAAGCTTGTGGTCCAAGACCTTCCCCAGATGAAAGGAGAGGACCTTCCAGGCATCGAGTTTCAAGCTCACGATTTCTTTTTGGAACAGCCCATCAAAGGTAGATAACCAATTCACCATCATAAGTGTAGCCATCCGATTTGAGTCTCACTCTAATTCTACATAGGCGCTCGAGTCTATTACCTTCGTTTCATCGTACACGATCATGACTTTTCCCGCAATCTCAAAATACTGACGAATCTGCGTCAAGCCATGGAACCAAGCTACTCACGACTGCTTGTCAACGAGTGGGTTATACCAGAGAGAGGAGCTTCTCGATTTATGACTATTGAGGATATGAATATGATGGCTCTTTCAGGCATGGAACGCACAGAGAGGCAACACGGAGAGCTTCTCGAGGCAGCCGGTCTGAAAATATCTAACATCTTCTACGCAAACGATTCCTTTAGTAAGAGTGTTATCGAGGCTGTGGTTGCTTAGAGGAAAGGTGCTATGCTAGATCACACACGATCGTTTGTCGAACTTGAGGAATTAAGATATAAGGAATCCCTAATCCGATTTGAGAATTTCCGTCGAAAGCAATCGTTGCATAGAGTCTCCCGTCGTTTCGTCTTCGTCAGAGAAATAGGCGAATTTTGTGATTATAGCCAAAATTGCTACATGAAGTTGCGCATACAAAATACTGCTCCGCGAATAATTACTGCTTGATTCAAGGGTATAAGCTTCAATTTAGAACAACATTTCCAATCTATTTTCAATGCATTTCCAGATCTGGCCACGTGACTGCTCTTTCTTCGAAGTGGAGCCATCCAGGTGGACGGAGCTCATGACGCTGATATTCGAATTTCCAGTCCCTAAGCCTTGGCAACACTAACGCCGTGAAGCATACTCTCTCCTTGCCCTCTCCAGCACCAAACGTCTCAATGCCTCCACCTCAATGCAAAAACCGCTTATGAGAATACCCTACACGGGCCCCCTCCCTCCTCCTAGCATCATACCACGAAATGCAAACACCATCCCCGGCGCCGTCGCAGCTCTATCTCGATTCCTAACAGCCCCGCCGTCGCGGTCCCTCGTAGCAGGACATGGAGACCCAAAATCTACGGTTGTGTTGTCAGGAGCGGGAATATCGGTAGCGTCTGGACTGGCAGATTATCGGGGCACGAATGGGACTTATAGGGTTAACAAGACGTATCGGCCGATTTACTATCACGAATTCCTGGCGAGCCATGAGGCGAGGAAAAGATATTGGGCGAGGAGTTTCTTGGGGTGGACTAATTTACATAAAGCAAGGCCGAATATAGCTCATTATGCTGTCAAGAATCTTGGGGATATGGGATTTGTGCGGAGCGTGGTCACGCAAAACGTGGACTCTTTCCACTCAATCGCACATCCTGAGCTTCCGACTCTAGAGCTCCATGGATATCTGCGAGCGCTGACTTGTGTCACATGTCATAACGACCTTCCTCGAGACGTATTCCAAGAGTCGCTTGCAAGATTGAACCCGGCATGGGCGGCATTCTTGAAAGAAGCAATTGTCTCGGGAGCACTCGATACCGAAAACCCCGAAGAACGCCGCGCGAAGGGCATGAAGACGAACCCGGATGGTGATGTTGACTTGCCAGGAGCGCCCTACACCACCTTTCGTTATCCCGCCTGCCCACACTGCCTTGCAAATCCGCCTATAGCTGGTGATGGTAAACAAACCAAAGTGGAGGTTGATCAGGAAGGTGCTTGGGCTCCGTCAAGTACAGCAGGCATTTTGAAGCCCGCTGTGGTGATGTTTGGCGAGAGTATAGCTGCTCGAGTCAAGGAAGCCGCAGAAGAAGCAATTGATGGTTCTGGGAGGCTCTTGATTCTTGGCACATCTCTTGCGACATATTCCGCTTGGCGATTGGCGAAAAGGGCGAAGGAGCGTGGTATGCCAATAGGCATATTGAACCTTGGTGGAGTGAGGGGTGAAGAGCTATTCTTCAGAGACCTGCCCATGGGCCATCTTGGAGATGCCGGATGTCGAGTGGAGATGGGAACAGATAAAGTTCTCCCAGACCTTGTCAACCAGCTGAGACGCACCGGTTTTGCAAATAGTGAGACATCCGTTCCAACAGACGGACAGAGGACGAATAGCAGAATCTTTAAAGACATGCTGTCGTAACGGCCCATGTATTATAGTCATGTAAACCAAAATATCCTAGATTAATAGAACCCAGCTGGAGCTTTGCTCTTCGATTCGTTTTGAGAGACTGGTTTGTGAACTTTCGCGGTTTCCTGAGCATCATGCGCGCCAGAAAGATCTTCGGGCTGGTTTACTTGTTTCGACTTTGAACCTCTTGCCTCTTGCCACATCCTGTCCTCCTCTTCAATTTCTTGGAGGACTAACCCAAAGTTAGCTATTGTATCGTTGCATAGGATTGGGACAGCATACCTTCTTCCCATTCCTTCTCTCTCTGCGCATCACCGGTCCCGAGGAGACCTTCAACGTCAACATTCTCTCCATTCTTTATACGTTCAATTATTTCCTTTAAGAGCCCAATCTTCGCATCAGCCCGACGAGTAAATGCTGCATGTTCGTTCCGTAGAGCAATCATCTGAATAGCCATTGACCCAATGAACAGAAAAATTACAATATAAAACGTCGCAGGATTCCATTCCTTCTTCTTTATATTCTTTTTGACAGCAGTAGATGGGGAACTTCTTCGCAAAGGCTTCGGTATCATATCTAGCCAAAAGGAGCGTTGCAAAACGCTTGGAGAAGTAGCATATTGCCTGACGAGGCTTTGAGGAGGAGATCGTAATGACGTAGAAAGCGAACTTCGTAGGGTCGGGGGCGCAAGAAGAATGCGTCTAAGGAGCGTAGGTGTCGCCATGTTTCCAGATTTCATTATAAGGACGGGAATAAATTCTCATTTCGTTTCCTTCTTCTTCCTCGGCTTGTCGAGAGACATGACGGGAGCTTGGGATATTCTCCGAGACTGTTGCCCCGTCAACGCGCCTAAGCCCGAACAGGTCAGGAAAGCATTGACTCTCTTCACTACATGCAGCTTGTAATGTACATCAACCGTATTTTGCATGTACAATTATTGCTCGTTTGGATTGCCAGCAACGTTTTGTATAATGTATAATTCTTGACATACCAGTAGTATCTGCCTCAGAGACCAATATCATCATGGCGCCTATCAAAGCCATCGCCGAATCGATATGCGCTTCAGTTGGTTCGGATTGTACAACAACCACTGTGACAACTCTCGGCGACTACCTGCTACCAAAGCCGAAGAGCGAAAACACGCGCCCTGTTGCCTCGAAGGTTAAGAGAACGGTCGCGCCTTCGAAGCCTTCAAGCAAGGCTGCTCTGGCGACAAATACGAAATTAAAGAACAAAAGAACGGTGTCGGTTAAAGAGGATACATTAGACCATGGCGCAGAGACAGGATTGACGCCGAAAGAACGTTCAATACTCGCGACTGAGGTTATAAACGCTACCCTCAAGGTCTTGAACGATGCGATCAAAGCACCTTTGCAGACGGCAGTGCGTCGACAGCCATGCTCAAAGGAAGGCACACAGCGCAAAACCCTAAGACGATCAATCTCCATGCCCCAATCGCCTTTACAACCACGGTCGCTAAACCGAGTCGCCAGTTCCCCCGGTCTATCGAATCGCTCGAGTCGATCATCTTCAACGGCTTCTATCAAAATTGCCAGTCATCGTTCCACAGCTGAATGCGCTCGCGTTGCGTTCGCATGTCTCAGATCTTTGCAAGCAGCTGGTATCCCAGGAGTGGATTTCCTACATCTTCAGCTTGAAAATGGCACTTCTGCTCTGATCGGGAAACTAATAGCTCTAGGTTTGGATGATTTGGCTCTCAAGGAAATCCGCATTTTGAAGCGACGACTGGTTCCAGCAGATGCGAGCAAAGAGTCAGGGCCGAAAACGACCGGTGCGCCAATACAGGAATTGGCGGAACTACTGAACTTCGGGGATATTGTGTCTGTTGATAGACAGACTTTGAATTTGGTCATCTCCACCCAATTACATATTGTACGATTACTGGCCTCGACGAGGAAACAGAATATTCGCGACACGCTGGAAGTCTTGAATCCTCATCATCAGTCTTCACCGACTCGCCTTCTACTACTAATAGCTGAGGATCCTAAAAGCAGAGACAAGGCCGTGCGACAGTTGCAAGCTCTTTCGGACACGTTACTGTCACTTTGTCCTAGTGTAGCTTCCTCGGACGACGATTTAGCGCTCGAAACAAGAATCAGCGTACCTCCCGATGTTGCCTTTCAGTTGCAAACAATTGCTCTCCACAACCGACTACAATGGTGGAAGATTGCCAAACATGCAGCCGATTATTCAAAAAATCTGATCCAACCGTTCCATCGATGTCTTTCCACTTTTGCGCGACGAAGTGAGAATGGTGCTCTAGGAGCAGCTCGCTCGGCCGCCGAATCCTTTCGCAGCCTGTGCCAAATTTGGTCACGACAGACTAGCTTCGAAGAACAAGCGACACATTCAGCGGTTTTCGAAATACATAGGTTGCTGAGTTCGTTATCCCAAGAAGCAGGTGATGTCGAAGAGGCACTCTTATGGACTAGGAAGCTCAAAGAGTACACGGGAAAAATCACCCAGGCCAGAAAAGTAACCATTGCTACTCGAGTGGTCGCACTCGTGTTAAAGCGCCCCGCCAGAAATCCTGAGGATGAGAAAGTGTTGAGTGAGCTTCTAGAGCTTCTAAATGCGTCCTACACAGGGACTTCTGCCGATATCGATGACCTTATGACCGAAATCTCTGCGGCTAGAAGATCCGCGTTAGCTGTGCTTTCGCGGTCTACTCCAACGTGTAGACCGGAGGACAGGCTTGAAGAACGTATGCAAAACATGTGCGAAGCGCTCATCTTTCTGTGCCCCAGAATATGCCTAAGATATCTCGGAAAACCTATTACTGCAGAGTCCCAAACTAAGGAAACCATAATTTACGAGCAAAAGCGATTATACATTGCAAAGTCAGCATATCACACAATTGATTCGACTCTTTTTCTCGCCAAAACTCTTTTGGGTGGCAATCGACTAAGCTGGGACATTTTAGACTCTAGACTTCAGGAGTGTTTATCATTGCTCGATAGGCTTGATCCAGACAACATCTTATCCAAGGCAGAATCTGTTGCACCTCATTCTTATTACGTCAAAATTTCCAACCTGTACTACACACATTTCCTTAATGAGCGTCGAAAGCCAGACGGGCAAAAAGAAGCGCAGCAACTAAATATTCTCCGAAGATCTGTAGACTGTGTCCAAGCGAGATCGCCTGTTGAGAAAAGGGCAGCTCTCTACTCCATGAAATTGGAGAGGATGGCTGATATCTACAAAACAGCTGGAAAATTCGAGGAGCTATTCGATGTTGTCAAGAAGATGCAAGATGTGCAGATGGCTGACGGTGTCCTCTCAAATATAGCTTCGGCGATGAAGACTATTCCTGTATGTCCAGCCTGGGAAACAGACGAGCAGACAACGTTGTTGGGGCGAACAGTTCACACCCTGCTGAAAGTTCAGTTGAAATATCTTCGACAAACAACCAATGAAGTGAATTTAGATGAATCTCTATCCGCAGAAGAGCAAGGTGCACTTCTCGAGTATCAACTGGTGCATTTGCGCACTCAAACTAAAGATTTGTCGGTCGTATCAAGGTTCCAGTCGATGGTTTTTAAATCACTACTTGCTTTATATGTAACGGAGCAGTTTCCAGTTCGTCGACTTCGTGTGCTTGTAGAACTGTTAAGCCTCGACACCGAACTTCAAGAGAAAATTTCCAAAAGCATTAGCGATGAGCTCCAGTATGCTATTGCTGAGACTGTTAAAATTGAACAAAGCAAAGATCAAGGATTACAACCATATTGGCAACATTTGCAAACTTTAGCGCTCTCAGTTCTAGAATTGCAGCAGCAACAACCAAACGTGACACTACTGAAGCGATATGTGGCTACGTGGTCCTCTATTCAGAAAGAGTGCCAAAGTGCTGAAGCATTACGACAACGAGTCGATGATGTTCACGGTTTGTTGGACCAGCTGAAAAATATGAGCATTTACTGTCAAGTCAGAGGGCATGACGAATTTAGGGTAACAATTCTAAGCCTTGTGTCTGACCTACATTCAAAAATTGAAACTACATCTTCAAGTGCTGACGATGCGGTATCTAATTTGATTGACCTGGGCGCTCAGTGGCTTCAACTTGGTTACTCAGGTAAAGCTGGCTTTGCACTTGATAAAGCACATAGAAAGTGCGACCAAAGTGGCATTTCTACGAAGATTATGCTCAAATTGCATGTCAATTACTCTGATTATTTACAAACGATTGGCAACTTTGATAAAAGGTTGGTCTACTCAAAAACTGGCATGCTCGTCACTAATTAATTGCAGTGAGGAATATCTTCGCCGGGCCAAAGAATTCTATATAACCGATGATGCTGTTCCAAGCCAGCGAGGAAAGTCCAAACCAACACAACTACTGTCAGAGGCGTATCTAGTGCAGTCCAAAATCGCTCTTTCTCGTGGCGCTGCTCATATCGCCCTTGCTCAGGCAAAGAAATCGGTGAGGCTGCTACGTCGCGCCTGGGCCAGAGTAGAAGAACAGCGGCGGCGGAAGAAGTCTTCTCAGAACTTCCCCTCTTCGGACTCAGGTTTAGGTGCTTTAGCTGACGGAGTATCAAACTTAAGTATCTCTACAGCTTCCACATCCGAAGAACTCGAATTGCCCTCATCAAACATTCAGTCATGTCTCTGGGTATTTATAGACCCACTCTTCCGTGGACTTGAGCACCTTTCGGGCGTTTACGCCTATCATGGGATGTTCCAAGAGACCATCTATTACGCGGAGCAAGGCTACAAGCTTGCTAAGGACATGAACTCTGATTCTCATCAAGCCATGGCCGCAGCAATTATCGGCGTTGCAATGATGAAGGCAGGTTCGCTAGAAAGGGGCTCCGAATTGTTAATGGAGTCAAAGAAATTTTCATCCGCAGTTCAAGGCAATCGGAACGCTGCAACCTTAGCATATTATACAGGGAGGATGCATGGAATTCTAGGAGACCAAACGTCTGAACTTTCTTCGTATGAACTCGCAGAAAGTATTTTAGACACGATTCTTCACAGCAAATCAGACGAGCAAGGTGTTACTGATCATTCGGCCCAAGCAATCGAGGCTTCGATGGCCATGGTCAGCATCTCCAAATCTAAGCCAACCACCAAACGTAAGCCAGTTTCACGCGCAAAAGTTCCCCCGAAAACAAAAAAGCCACTCCCTCGGACGAAGACCCCGATATCAGATGCGCCCGCGTCAATTGTAGAGGAGTGTACACATATCGTGTCCTTCCAAGCCGTCATCCTACGTTCAAAATCACAAGTACTGAATTCTATGAAGCGTTTTGGAGAAGTGCAGACATTGTTAGACCGAGCAGCAGGTTCCGTTCTGACCCAGACTGAGGCTGTAGATCAAAAATTAGCGATGGCGAAGCAACTGCTTTCCCAGAGTCTAGAGTTTATGATTGCTGATCCCGTTTATTCCATCTTACAGGACTCTACAATATCATTTCCATCCGTGTCTAACAATTCAAAGGCGGATGTTTCAGGTGATCAGGTTGCTACCACCAAGACAACACCCCCGAAAAGGGGGACAGCTGCAAAAAGTGGTCGCGGTCTGGCTCGTGTCAGACCTTCTTCTGATGATTGTTTTGAAAAGCTCCGTCAGGCACAAGAATATTTACTCGAAGCGCACTCTATCGCGGTCACTGCAGCTCCTTTGGTGATGATTCATACAATTTCAGCTATGCTGAATACTGTGTCGATTTTGTTGTCGGCTTCAGGGCACACGAAAGGTCTCTCGATGCTGAGCCCCGGGTTTGCAAGCTGTACTATTGGTAAGTTTCGGTGTTCTACTGGACAATCTTTGGTCTAATTGTTTTCAGAAACTGCGCGAACAACTTCGATTCGCCGCGAGCGTAAAGCTATACTCGCAGATCCATCATCGAACACAAAGATGGATGAGTTAATTTGGCCCACAGCAACACCAGGAGAGTCGAGGAGGGTTAGCTTAGCTGCACCTCAGGATTTTTCAAGGTTTCAAAAAGACTATATTGACATTATTCCCCAAGCTTGGACAGCTATATCCATCGCTTTGAGTGACAGTCATAATGAGCTTGTAATCACACGACTCCAAGCTGGTCAATCACCATTTGTCCTCCGCCTACCGCTAGGCCGACACAACTCAATGGACGCAGATGAAGATGTTTTTGGATTTGAACAGGGACGGTGCGAATTACAAGAGATTATCGACCTGGCAAATGAGAGCGCACATAGTGCGCGTGATATGAGTAGTAAAGAGGCCAGAATTCAATGGTGGGAAGAACGTGACGAGTTGGATTCTCGTATGAAGGAGCTCCTAGAGAACATTGAGAAGGTTTGGCTTGGTGGTTTTACCGGCATTTTCTCGCAGCAATCGAGACATCCAGATTTACTTGCAAGGTTCCAGAAATCATTCCAAAACATCTTGGACAAGCACCTTCCTTCACGCCAAAAGACAGGAAAGCGTGGTACACCAGCACCAAAAGTAGCCCTGGACTCTCGAATCCTTGAACTATTTATCGGTCTGGGCGACGCGTCAGACGAAGATTGCGATTTTTCAGAACCGCTCACAGACTTGCTCTACTTCGTCGTTGATATTCTGCAGTTCCACGGCGAGCTCAACGCTTACGCAGAAATCGATTTCGACTCGATCACGATAGAAACTCACGACGCACTAAGATGCTATCACGATTCCTTGCATGGCTCCGGCCATGTTGATATTGGAAAACACACTATTTTAATTTTGGACAAAGCACTTCATGCTTTCCCCTGGGAGTCACTTCCGTGCCTGAACGGTCAAGCTGTATCTCGGCTACCCTCACTCGGCTGCTTGCGGGACCGAATACTTCTTCAACGGGGGCAAGCTTCAGATGGCTGTCCTGATGGTCACTATGTTGATCGACAAAACGGATCATACATCCTCAATCCAGCCGGAGATCTCAAAAACACCCAAGCTACATTTGAAAAAAGTCTACAGGATTTGGATAACTGGGATGGTATCGTCAAGCGCGAGCCAAAGGAAGAAGAGATCAAAGAGAACCTGGTCTCAAAAGACTTGTTCCTTTATTTTGGTCACGGCAGTGGAGCACAATACATCCGAGCTCGGGAGATTCGAAGGCTTGAGAAATGTTCGGTCACATTTCTCATGGGGTGCAGTAGTGGTACCTTGGTTGATGCTGCTGAGTTTGAGGCATATGGGCCAGCAATCAATTATATGCACGCCGGTTGTCCTGCTCTAGTAGCGACTCTGTGGGATGTTACCGACAAAGATATCGATCGATTTGCAAAATCAACCTTCGAATCATGGGGTCTGTTCCAAGCTGAGTGCAGCATTGAAAAGAGGGGGAAAGGCAAGAAGAAAGCGCAGCACCCGAGCACGGAAAAGGTATCGCTCGTAGAGGCCGTTGCCAAGGGGAGAGAGGCTTGTAATTTGCGGTACTTGAATGCCGCGGCTGTTTGTGTATATGGAGTCCCGGTATACCTAAAATGAAGGAGTTCAGTACGGAGGAGGTTAAAGGAGTTGGTGGTTCATGTTGTATATGTTGCATTGCTGGAGTCAGGGACCTGGTCCGATTTGGAAAACGGGACCAGGAAAATTCATTTTCAATTGAGTGCAAACTGCTATCTCATGCTTCCAAGTACCGCCCGGCTGGTGTCCCGGAACCAGGTATTGTGATACTATTCCCGGAGCAGCAAATTCTCCGCGCGGGAAATGCCCATGTTTGTGAGATATGTGACGTTTCTGACGATGACAGGCAATACTACATTCTCACCACTCACCAGGTAGTTGTAAAAGAATATAACTGCAGCTGAACGTAGGTAAGAGGTTTTTGTGTCCCTCTATACTGGTCTCGAGTGTACTCTTGTGCGAGGACTTGGCCCTGATACTCGCATGTGGGCAACCGCCAATGAATTTCTGCTCCCAGCCATTCGACTGGAAATATGCACGACTCCTGGATTGGATTGGATCAACGAGACTGACGCTCCTCATCGGTTTTCTGGTGATTGGCGTTGAAACGGTCAACATGGGTGCACGATAGGCTTTTTGATTTTATCGTGATGGCTGGTTGCTGGGCAATGAGATGTTGACAATAGATGATCAATTGCATCCGAGTGTCTGCGTTTAATCGTCAACCCAAGAGTCTTCCCTCACCACGATTTCTTCTTCCTTCTCCCTTCTTCCTCACTTTTCACTTGTACAAATTGCATTTTGTTTCAATTAAGATTTTTACGTCGATCTCCCCCCACTGTATACTACGTTTCCGAATAATTATTTGTTATTTGTGTGGAAGCTTCTAGAAATTCGGCGGAAAATCGTCCATCTGGGCCTCACACGGAGAGCAAATCAGCTCCGCAAACGAACCATCTCTAGACGACGCGCAAAGACACTGCACTGGCAGTCTGACGCTCACAAGGCTCCCGCAAGATTGTTTTCTGCCTCCTTTGCAATTGCTTCTTCTCATCGCGAAGACCATCCTCCTCTACAATAGATCTTGTCTCGACTCATCCTAATACTGCTGCTCACTTCCAGCGGCTGACCCCCCCCCCCCCAAGCGACATCTCAGAATCGCTGGTGCATGGATCGGACGGCGTCTCGCTCGCAGCCAACCACAGCACATTCCTACCTCCTTCTCGCAGCGGGAACCCAGCAGACAGAACTTGTTAGAAGCAGAAGACGGACTTTTTCCTCGAAACCACACTACACTGCACTACTCGGTACAGGCGTGATTCACTAGAGTGTCTACCTACCTCTTCCTGCGGCTGTTCAACGCCAGCCTGACCCTCCCGACCGCCGCCGTCCCAAGCCTTGTCTTGTTCCGTCATCTCAATGAACTTCTTCTCCAAATCTCCAAAAAAATCTAAAAAATCACCACCCAGCGACGACGAGGCACCACAATCGCCTTCCACCAAGGAGAACACCACCACACATCCGCACCGCTCTCGGTCGCCGCTGAAGAAAACTTCGTCATCCTCGCGATCAGGGAAGGACAGAGGAGACGGTGACACCCAGGGCCAGAGTCAGAGAAAGGCAGAACCGGGGTCCCCAAGAAACAGTCGAAGTTTCCCGTCAAAGTCCAATTCTCCACGCCACCCATTCGATCCCAGCACAACACATCCTCTGAACCTGCCTGTAGACCAGTTGCGCAGGTTCTCTGCCCTCAGCGCCATGTCAGACCCGGACCGCATGGATATCGACAGCGAGCCACAGGCCGCTCCAGTGTCACCCCCACCTCAACCCAAGACGCAAACCGACTCTCCAAAAGCGAATGGCGCAAATGGAGCTGGCGTAGGTGCAGGCAATGGAGAAGGGCCAACTCCTCCACCTCACAAATCGAACCCAACAAGTCCCGCTCCGGTTGCGGCTCCCACGCCAGAAGAAGCAGAGGCATTTAAAGCTGCAGGTAACAAGTTCTACAAGGCAAAGGATTACAAGAAGGCGATTGAGGAGTATACAAAAGGTAGTTCACATTGCACGTTAAGCAAACCCAACTGACATATTCCAGCTGTTGAAGCACAACCTTCGGAGCCAACATATCTCAACAACCGTGCGGCGGCTTATATGGCAAACGGACAGTACGTTTTGGCCCTCGAAGATTGCAATCGCGCAGACGAACTCGATCCTCAAAACCCAAAAGTACTCCTTCGATTAGCTCGTATATACACAAGTTTAGGCAGACCACAAGATGCTATCAATACATTTGATCGCATTCAGCCAGCACCTTCGACAAAAGATATTGCGCCAGCAAAAGCTATGCTGCAGCACATCAATGTTGCAGAGGACGCCTTGAAGAATGGTACTACCGGGTCTATGGCATTACACGCTCTTGATCAGGCCGAAAAATTACTGGGCTACAGTGCTCCAAAGCCTCGCAAGTGGCAATTAATGAGGGGAGAAGCATACCTGAAGATGGGAAATGTCAATGCGCTTGGTGATGCACAAAATGTTGCCATGTCATTATTACGAAACAACAATGCAGACCCAGAAGCGTTGGTACTGAGAGGTAGAGCACTCTATGCTCAAGGTGATAACGACAAAGCCCTGCAGCATTTCCGGCAAGCTATCAACTGTGATCCAGATTACCGAGAGGCTGTTAAATATTTGAAGATGGTCCAAAAATTAGACAAGATGAAGGCCCAAGGAAATACTGAGTATAAGGCCGGTCGATGGCAGGCGGCTATTGACCAGTACACCGAGGCTCTTGAGGTCGATCCGCTGAACAAGGGGACAAACTCAAAACTGCTTCAAAACCGAGCTCTGTGCAGAGTCCAACTGAAGGATTATCAAGGTGCAATTTCTGATTGTGAGCGTGCACTTCAGCTTGAGCCATCATACACCAAAGCCAAGAAGACGAAAGCCAATGCTTTAGGTCTCAATGGTGATTGGGAAGCTGCAGTTCGCGATTTGAAGGAGATCCAGGAGGCAGACCCACAAGATGCCGGAATTGCCAAGGAGGTGCGAAAAGCCGAATTGGAGTTGAAGAAGAGCAAGAGAAAGGATTACTACAAGATTCTTGGTGTGGAAAAAGACGCGGATGAGAATCAGATCAAGAAGGCGTACCGAAAGGCAGCGATCATTCATCATCCCGATAAGAACCCAGATGATCCAAAGGCTGCAGAGAGGTTTCAAGATATTGGTGAGGCTTATGAGACGCTGAGTGATTCTGAGTAAGTTGTTTCGCTTTTCCTATTGAGCATTGCTAATTGGTATAGGAAACGTGCTCGTTATGATAATGGTGACGATTTAATGGATCCTATGGAAGGATTTGGAGGTATGCACGGTGGAGGTGGCATGAACATCGACCCCGAAATCCTCATGCAAATGTTCGGTTCTCAAATGGGCGGAGGAGGTCGCGGCGGTGGCGGCGGTTTCCACAGTTTCGGTGGTGGTGGCATGCCTGGTGGAGGTCGAAGAGGCGCTCCTCAAGGCTTCCCCGGCGGATTCTCCTTTCAATGAGAACCCGAATCCCAGCCCAACTCCCCCCCTGGCCCCGTCCCCTCCATCTCCAATACCACCCTCGCTCAGTACCGCAAGTTGGGCATGGGATTCCTGCTCGCGGCCGTGTTTCTCCCTCTGGACGTCCTCGTCATCCTGGCGGTTCTCATCGCTGGAGTCTGCATCTGCATTCGGGTCGTGGGGGTTTGTAAAAAGACGCTTTTTTGATAGTTAGCTACCTAGGTAGTAGGTTTTGTTTTAGATGGAAATGGATGGATGGATGGGGTTAAATCTTTAGAATGTCATGATGGTTGAAGACTTTTAATTACCTTCATTAGCATGGCGTTTTTTAACTTGTCATGATTGAAAAATCTTAATGTGATGTTGCTGCTACTGTGTTGTAGGCATCTAGTTGGGATGGGGGTATAGTTGGTAGATTTGGGAATATAAAAACTTGTTTGATGAGTTGTGGTGAGATTAAGTTTGAGAAGTGTCTGCTTGGTCCATCTGGTAAGATACAATAATGTTTGATGTGACAATGGACATATCACTGCCATTCAAGACCTTTTTGTCCAAAACGACGCAATACAACACAAATACAAGTATCATGGAGACCACAATCTCTACACCTACTCATACCTCGTCCCTTTCTTCGCCTACCATCCAGCCTCACGCACCAAAAGTTAGTATTTTCAAGCATCTCTCCGCCTCCGAACTCCACTCTCGCTAAAAAAGAAAATCAACCCGCTCCATCCCACAATACAACATTACCCTCCCCCCTCCAAACACGCTTTAAAAACAATTTTCCTTTCTCCAAAACACACGAGGGATCAAAAAAGAAATTGACCTACGCAGGGATCGAACCTGCAATCTCTTGATTCGTAGTCAAGCGCCTTGCCATTGGGCCAGCAGGCCTGGGGGGTTTCCTGATTGGATGGTGCTTTTTTTGATTTATATATATATATATATATAAATACAGAAAAGTGGGATGAGGGAGGGGGAAAAGTGGGGTTAAGTGGGGGGTTTATACGAGGATTAAGCGATGATTTAACGGGAGGTAAGGTACGAAGGTAAAGAAAGGGAGGGTGGTTAAGTAAGTAGGTTGAGGGTATTTAACTAAGTATTAAGATCAGCTCGGGAGATTCTATTCAATTAAGATGTATCTAGAACCCTATCAAACTCACAAATGTCGAAGTCAAGGACCGCAGAGACAACGGCGAACCACATATTCATCTCTACCACACACTCGGTCTCGGTGTCCAGCCCAACTCTGTAAAGGTTTTTAACAATTCAACTTCTCTTAATAAAGTGCACCGTCTTGTCGGCGCGAATTTTCAGTCGTAAAGTTGCGAAACATGCCGCAATGTCGTCGATCTCGAGAATCAAAAGTCCTTTCACAGTCTGCGCACCTGCAATGTCGAGGATGCTACTACTTTCGGTATTCGGCGTTTGGAGCGTGGTATATCTCGTTTAGTGTATCCTAATTGGGGGGCATTGTTTGTATAGAAGTAGTCTAAAATGCCAAAGATTGCTACTTAAAAACGTGGCAAGTGAAATACTTTTCCTTGAAGAGTATGCCAGATGATTAAAATATGATGAGCTCAACGAGACACGAACTACTGAAAATGATTACTTGTTGAGAAATGATACTCATTTGAGCGACTCCACTAAGGCCTAATTCGTTTAAGAACTTAAAACTCAAGTTCTCTTTATTTAACAGGGTAATTAATAGTTCTATTCCTCATTAGGTTGCCTCCGTTTAGCGCTTTTATAGCTAACTACTTAGCGTAGTAGAGAACAGACACAGGGTAGTAGATCTTAGTATAATGTCCTTATTATTAACTATAGTTCTTAGTTTAAGTTCTAATTTATATAGAAATTGAGGATTTAAGGTCTAGAGTATAAGTTCTCGTTCTCGTTTTAACTCTTAAGAATAGACGGTTTTTACTATAATTAAGAATATTGTTATTCTTAGCTAGAGTACATCCTAGACTATTAGAATACCTTAATTTACGATGTTTTATAATTTAAAAGTATTCTATTCTTAAGTATTGAGAGGTTTAAACGATTATATAGCAGAATTGATTTTCTAGTTTTTTAGAAATAATCACGATACTAAGTTAATTGCAAGGACTCTTAAAGAAATGGCATACTCATAAACTAAATGGGAACAGATTTAGTGAGATCCTTGTACTAACATGGCTAAGAATAGGAACTTGAGGATTGGCTCAGTTCTCAGCGAACTGGGCCTAAGTTATTAAGTCCCATGAGCCTTACTTCGAATTCTCTGATATCAAAGAGACTTCGTCATTGAGGTTTCATCTAATTAAGGGATGGATCTCGAATGCTAACAAGACTTGTTTACTGTCTTGTTTTGAGAGAATGGTTTAATAAATCTTAATGGCTACAAGATATGGTAGTTGACAGCGTGGAGATGTCCTCTGACGAGAATTGTAGATTGGTTCTTTCTTGACGGGACTCGCCGTGAATTAGGATGCTTTATGAAGATGAAGACGCTTCAGTAGCGACTTGTGTGGGACATCTTATTCTGATCCACTCCTCCACGGAAATATCAGCAACCTTCTGCATATACTTCTGGCGATTTCTTCTTGCCCAAGGGAGCAGTGTGATATCTTCCTCCAAATTAGTAAAACCGCCCAGGACACAATCCTCTATCAAGTCTCCGCCTTTTGCTAACAATAAAACCCATCTATCACGCTCACCAAAGTCGGCTGCAGACCACCGAAATCGTGAATACCGCAATGGTCCATCTATTGCGATCAAATCTCTGAAGAGTAGTCTGAGTTCCGACCCAGCCACTGTATTATTATAGGCAAACTCTACCTCCCATGAAAAATATAAACGTCCGTTGTCACCGTAATTATTCAACAGTAAGTTCATCAGATAGTTAGTGAAGCGTGGAGAGATGAGCTTGTCGCCAAGAAGCCACCGCGATGCCAATTCGAGCTCCAACTTGCAGTCATCCAATTTTACATCTTCGTAATTAGGCAAAGCGTCTGCAGCTTGCGGAGTTATAACATCTTGTTCGCCTTTGTCAGGTCGGTTTTCGTCAAACTCGTCTTCGTCAGATTCGTCTTCGTCAGATGCGTTTTCGTCAGATAATTCTTCGTCAGATGCGTCTTTGTCAGACATGTTTTCATCAGATTCGTCTTCGTCATCCACGTCTTCGTTAACATCCAGCTCCTGTGGAGATTGGCCACTGTATAACCACGATACAAAGTCTTGGATCGGCTGAACCTCATCCTCTGGAAGATGAACTTCACCACTAGCAGCTTCAGCGAAGTTGCTGTACAGGGCTGATTCAAAGAATCTAGAAAAAAACCCTAGTAGTATTTTATGGCATCGAATTTGTGTTTTGTCTTTTCCAACATAGAGTGTTGCTATGTCAGAGCATGCGGAGATGCTACATACTCCGTTAACAGGTGTGATCGAAGTCATATGTAGAAGCAAAGACTCACAGCGCGTGGACATATTGTCCATGTTCTCGACGAAGGCGTAGCTCCTCTTTCACATTTTTTAGCTTGCAGTCAAAATAATCTTTATTCGAGTCGCAATCTTGACCACTACTCATATTGGCGGTTCAGACTGGTGGGACAATCAGTTCGATTGGATGAATTTGACTGGATAAGGTCGTGGTTGAGATCGAAAAACCAGCATATGAAGAAGGGTGGAACAAGCGTAACAGGTGGTCAAGTTTACAAGATCATGAAATACTTCAGCTCGTGGCATTAAATATAAGGCTAGTTTTACTAGCGCGACCGTCCACGAAAGTGAATTGACAAAATGCCTGGTTGATTCATTGAATTGCCAATGATAGCTATGATTGAAAAAGGTCCCAGCCTGTCTTTATGATTGACAGACCACTGTCTTTACTGCAACGAGGGATATGATTGAGATCTCCAATATGGCGCAGAATTATCTAGTATGTATCCGAATTATTTACTTGACGAATTTATATCGAGATAATCGTTTCATAGGTCCCGGGCGGTCTGTAGAACAAGTAACAGTCCGAACCGTATATGTTTTCGATGGAGTTGGCATATCCTATATGTTGTGATTTTCTTTCAATAAATAAGAACTATCTTCACACTTTTAAGTTTTAATGATCGGCTAGTAATTAATGCCCCTAACCCTTCTTTTCTATACCTTAACCCACAGAACGGCCTGGATGTTCTGCCACGTACAGTTACCACAGTGTCGTTGCCTTGTGCACAAAACATGCCGGCATGATGAGTTCTAAGGTATGATTTGATCTACTGTAAAGTGATTTCAAATTTTTGATTAAATTGGAAAGAGTGATGAATTAGTCGAAGCACCGCTAACCTTACTCTACGCGGACACATTAAACTTCCTTTTATATCGCCTCAGTACTATTTATTTAAAAACTATACTTTTATACTTAGCTATACTATCGTGATTTATAATGTAGTAACGAACTTATTTATCCTCCTAAGAAGAATAAATTAAACTTAACTAATTTTAATCGTCTTATAAACTACGGGATTGAGTATTATTGTCTTTAAAGTAGTTTGGCTTTAGGCGCCGGAGAAGGAAATTTAATACGTTCTCGAAGAGCCTTATACCAAGAAAAGTTGATAGAAATTGTCTGAGTGTATCAAACTGAACTATTCAGTTGAGAGAAGAAGTATCGTCACTTATCAATCCAACAAATGCAGAGACAGAAGGTAATTTGACTACTAGGTCTCTTCTAGATTAACTTCCAGTGCGAAGAATCTCGAATGGAAAAGCCACGCTAAAACTACACCATCTCGTTCCTTGCTTTATTTAATTGAGGCTATATTGAAAAGAATTCAATTACCGATCTCTTTCAAAGCTTAGACTTCATGGAGTTATTCTCCATCTCTGGCGTCTTAACTTTCAAGTGATGTTTGCTCTAATGCAATTAATTGATCATTTTTTTCGAGTTTAGGGACGGCCTCCAAAGATGGCAATAGTGTTGATTGATGAGCTTCGTGAGTCTCATCGTCTTCGGAAGCTTGCGACTGGTAGTGATTCATTGACATTTGAGATTATAATGTTGATCTCTGACAAGGTTCTCCTTGGATATTATTGTTTGGAGATGCGATTTCAGAATTCATTTCTCGTTATTTTGGACCTAGAGTACTTACAGTATCGTTACGAGCTTTTGAAAGCTAAACCATTTCATAGCATAATAGTAAATACAACTATGGGTGGCAATTTTTTCTGATACCTCCTGCTAAGTCCTCTTCACAAACGGGTCTCTTGAACAGTGGAAGTCTATTTCGTGATCAACCTAATATGGCCTAGGTAGCTATATGGTGGCTCGTAGGTTTCTACTGCCAGCTCGCATTACACTCTTCACAGCTTTCGTCGTACTGTTGGTGACCGCATGCAGATTCATCTGCGCCTCCACCCCAGCATTGGCCCTTAAGTTGATCGCACTGGTCACATCCTTCTTCGGGAGCTTCATGGCCACAAGTTGGAGCATTTGGTCCTGACTGATCCCAATGTGTCTGAACATGCTCAGTGCAAGTATCGCAATCTTCATCATAATCCGAGTGACCACAAGATGGTTGTGTAAGGGTAGATCCTCCACCACCGGTCCAGGAAGATTCATACTCGGTGCACACCTCGCAATTTTGGTCGATCTGGGTATGACCGCATGGTGGGCAGCAATCCTGATCAACACTATGAGTGTAGATCTCTTTGTAAAGGAAGGAAGACTCGAACCTCGCCATGCTCATGCTCTTCTTGGCAAACACCCTCGTCCCAGCATCCCTTCACATCGTTGATGGCATTTTTGATCTTTAAATTCGGTTAGTAACAGACTAATACATGACATGCATCCTTACATGGCCTTCGATTTTTCCACCTTCGTCTACTGCCTCTCCGAAAACGTGCTCGGCCTCGCCTTCCGCATAATTCTTAAGCAAGTGTCCTGTAGTTCAGGATTACTCTTAGTAGATCTTCAGTTGAACAATGCTTTGAAAGATTACGTACCAAGACCCATTGTGTCTATCGATAAGTAGCCTTTTTACCGTGGGAGAGCTTTCGTTTGGATTCTAGCAAATTCGATTATTGTTTCATCAATTGAAAGATTGCAACTTCAAAAGTGCCAAGGAAAGCATCTTTATACCTGTTTTCAATTTAGCTTGAAAGCGGGTACTTCAACTCGTTTGGTAAATAAGCCAAGTAAGCATTCGAGATTACCTCAAGCATTGTGGGATAGAGTAATACGTGTTACCCGATATCCGGTCATCGCTCGATTGCTTTCTTAAAGGTAGCCGAGTCTCTACTTCGTACAAATAGTATGACTAGGCATTCAAAAGAACTTTCGAAAGGCCACTATACAATACCGAAAATATCCGCAAACCTTTGAGTAGTTCATCTCGAGATAATGTAAGCATACCCGACGAAGTGGGTCTCTACAGCTTCATTCAAAATAACCGTGTTCATGAAGGATGTAAGCCATTGGCGGTTATGGAGTTACTGTGGTGAGTCAGATGCTCTCGCTCCATATAATATAAGTGGCAGTTCGAAGTGTGAAGCAGGACATCCTTCCAATTTGATTAACGTAATAACATACATTTTGTCAATCGATTTGACCAAATTTTTGTTTAATCTGTTTAATTTTTTAAGTGGAGGGCACAATTTCAGACTTTGTTAAACCTTACAAAGTATGAGTTGGAATAATCGCTGTCTCTAGGGTGACTGTTACTTGTGATGTCTACTGCGGGACGCCATCTTCGGTCTGAGATGAGGGTGATCTAACTAAGACTTTCTCATTCTAACTCGAGGTTACGATACATGGCTATCAGGTACAACTCACTTGTGGGCGTGGTCCAAATGAAGTTCTAATTCTCTTACCAGACGAGAAAATCAGTCCATCTAATAATATCTGCGATTGGAAATGAACCTGAAGTATCTCGTTCCTACCACTGCTGGATTAGCACCTATTATTGAAACCCCAATAGGAGTTAGTAAGTGCAATTACACCAACATTATTAGCGTGTTCAAAATTGAAAACTCCTACAAGCCGGACCGTACTCAGGCGCAAGCCCTTGTTTCGTCAGTAGCTTGCCAGACACGTCCAGAGAACCACAAGTTTGGCGACAAATCGATAACGTTTCCGTACATAATATTCTGCTCTACTTTTCAACCTATCATCTCACGGTAAAAAAAAAGTGTTGTACCCCGAGTTGTCTCGTCCCTCAAATGTTGTGTACGAAATTTGGTGCCTGTCAAGCGACTTGAAGACATAGCAGCTTGATCGATTCATGAAGAATCGTCGGGCTAGCAATTTGCCTGAAGTTCGGTCGATCTAATACATCCCACCGTAATAGACGGAAGAATGTAATGCATTCATTAAATGCAGAACACACCGACCCAGCAGTTAGTCTTCAGGCGGCTCGAAGCTATGAAGTACCCTGAGAGTCAGCGAGAGACCTGAATCAAGGTCGTGGTGGTAGCAAATGATTGTCTCGAAATTTGACGCCTCAGCACTACCGATACGAAACTCGGTGATGCTGGGCTAGAATCTACTCTAGTGAGACGATGCCATAATCAAAAACTTCCGAGAAGTAAAGCACTCATTGTAACGTCATACACTTATATTCGGGTGAGGTTGACGGTCCTCATCCTGTGTCGCGGGAGGTCTGCTGTGACCTGCGCTCTTTGAATTCGCAGATCGTTATATGTGTCCTTCATGTTATACTTTCATTGCGCCTCGTAATGACTTATAAGATTGTTGATTAAATAAGCATGGTGTCAAGAATTTCCATGTTATTGTTGCTATAAACATTTCCCCACAAGCTGCTGTCGCAAGAAGTGTTTGTGTTGTGACAAAGGAGGATAACTTGAGATGAAGTAACTCATCCGTATCAAAATGTGCCTGTCCTTTCCAAGCATTACGTGTGCATCAGAATTTTCGTTACAACTCGAACGAGATGAATAGTAAATGAAGCCCAATCTTAAGCTGCTATGAACGAGAATTTACAGATATGAGTCTTTGTAGGCAGACAATGTTTACTTCTGGTTGTTTCCATGCTAGCGACCAAAATTAGCGAGTCCCAACAAAAGTTGCATTGTTTACTTTCCGCAAAAACACCTCGACATCACCAGACACACACTTTTGTGTCTCGATCATAAAATCCTTTACGCCGTCCTACAACGTTCCAACCAATTTTCTTGTCCGTCAGCAGTGCTTCGAAGTCAATATCTTTCTGGTTCAAACCACTCGCCACCGTCATTTGTTCCAAAGACAGGAAACAGCTGTAGACAAACATGGACTGCCACCATTTTCAACTTTTGTACGAAAACCTGTGCAACAATGGCTTCCCAGGCTTAAAGCCGTTCGAACTAACATGGGATGATTTCTATCAGGAGGTGGAAACTTCCAAGAAGCTGGTGATGGCTAAGGCTGGTAAAGAATCATTCCAGTATCGGATGTATGAACTCTATAGAAAGGTTCAAGAGTATTATTGTAAGTGGACAACAAAAGTCTCCTGTAAATCAAATGGTCACTAATTGACAGATGGTTCTGAAGGTCCTCCAGTACCAGGCTGCCGCCCGCCATCTATCAACGACCGAAAGCTGGAACCATACAATGGCTTTTCAATGGAGCTAGTTGCGAAGGTTTTCGATCTTGCTTGTGCCAATCCTCCCGCCCCAGAGCTGATGCACAATGGTCTGCCAATTGGTGCCTTTTTTTGTGTCACCGAGAACGCATACCCAGCTCTGTGGGGTCCTGATAGAAAGCATCTCAATAGGCTGGAACAACAGCTTCGCGGTCATATAGTAATTAAAAATGTTAATCTCAGGGGCAAAAACAAGTTTGGGCCATCTGGTCTTGGGGTGATGGTTCTCTGGTCTGAATTCTCGAGCCCAGAAGCCGCAGCATGGGACGCTGAATTGCAAGCTGCTAAAGTAGAAACGGACGCTTTCCTCGAATTTTTCTGCAACAAAATCGTTACGAAGACAGACACAGATGGCGCGATAGGTATTTTCAGCATCCCCATCCACAAAGCGTATGCGGAATGGGAGTCGGGGTTGGGCAAGTCAACAATACTCAGCCGAATCCGCCCTCGAATCCACTTGAGAAGAGGCTGATCCGAAACGGTTGGGCAAGAATTTGAAATCAGAAAAGAAGAAAACTCTTGACGGCAGGCTGATTGCTCTGAGCTAGGAGAATTCAGTAGTGTGTAGCAAAACAGCAGCAGAAACAGGAACTGCAGTGACCTATATTTCAAGTTGTTTTCAGCTGGCGAATCGGATTAGCTGCGTATCGAAAGCACTTGTTGTGCAAATTGGAAAGGTTAGATTGAGACTCCTTTGTATACTCATCTCAAGCAACTGCTGGTCTTTTTCTTCCTTAGGAATGGACAATCATGGGATTCGACGAGGACCACCTGCAGACTGATATTGGTTTTTGTTTCTGTTAGGATATTGAGGCTGAAGATCAGAGGACTGGAAAGATACAAATGAAATCTGGTGGAGTCTGGACGTACCAAGGCTGTCTGGCGGTGGACAAAATAAGTGTCAGTCGCCTGCTCACTAAAGTTGAACTAAATGTATCGTTTTCGAACAGAGCTTAAGAACTCTCATTTATTTGAAATCCTTGACAGATTATGTAATACTGTTCCACGTTGATCCACGAATTATACAATATTTCGTCAACGACATCGAAGAAATACCGTGCTATGACTGCAACTTATTTAGTCCACGCGAGGCGGAAACTTTACAATTAATAGATGCTCGGATCAAGTGATAAATCTCTGCGTTATATTTACAATCTCTCACTTGTTGAGGAACTTTCAGAATAAGATGTGTACATATGAGTTGACAAACATGACATTAAACTAAAATAGCAGCAAGAACATAAGAAAATCGTTTCCACTACAGTATCACTCGCGCCGTAAGTTCACCAATCGTTCTTTCCTAAACCCCCGAAAGTTTCTATATCAAGCACCCAATCTATGCCTGGAAACTCCGTCTCGCCATCTTCTTGCTTGGAAAGATATTCGTGAACCCAAAATTGCAAGTCTTAGGATCACTAGCATCGCACCCCAGATTGGGCACATTATAAGTGAAAGCTGGTGAGGTAGGTGTCGCATATGTAGCAGCGATACCTTGAGCAGCGTCTGACCATGTGAAGCCTATTCATGAACGTATCAGTCTCATATCCCGACCTTGTAGATGAAGGTGACTTACTCAAGCTATATCCATCAGCACAGAAGATGTTTCCGCTCAATGGCAGCCCAGCTCTGCCGGTCAAGCCTCCTGAGCATTTAGGTGCGTCTCCTACGTTTCCGTTCTGGACTTGGAGTTTGACTTCTGTGGAGGTGGAGGAGAGAGTGCCTGTGCCTGTGATGGCAAAAATACTGTCTGCGACAGCGGTAGAAAGAAGAGCCGTTGTGGCAATGAGAAGGGACTTGGAGAACTGCATTTTGGTTTTAGATTTCAGGTTTGGAAGGTGTTTTCGTTTGTTTGATGAATGTAATTATGTATTCAAGGATGCCTTGAGTGATTGATGCTTTGGAAAATGAGGACAGTACTGTATATTTATACACCTTTTATCTCATCGACATCTGATTGAACTACACTTGTAGCTTGTTGATCATGCCAGATGGATACCGGCACTGGAGCACTCGCTCGTAACTTCGAAGTCGTAAGTCTGACCTTCGAAGTCTCGAAATGACGATGCCAACTCGTCTTCAAAGATGTACTACACCAGAACTGAACACAACCCAAGTTTCGCAAAAGAAAATCTCGTATTTGAGGTCAAAAGACCAAGACCTTGCAGCCTGCCACTTGTTGCCCCGCAACGTTGCGCGACGATCATCTTGAATACGTGATTCGTGAAATGCCGGCTACACTTCAGCGAGATTACACCAGACATAAACAAGGTAAACCTGCCTCGCAGAGTCGCAGAGCGCAAAACAGCCGGTATACTTCCCTAAGTCTTCTATCAATTTGAAATATATCATCGAGCGGGCAAAGCGTTTTAATAATAAACATTCAAACACAGTCCAGAAACATCAAATTTACCGAAAACAATAGACAAAATACGTGATATATTGCCAAATCGATCGAAGAAATGTGACATATTTCGCCAATTATCTTGAGCAAACATCTTCCAGGTTATTCCGACTGCCATCGCAAAGCTGCGTCATGAGGCTCTACCCCCTCCTCAAACTCCAGCAGACGTTCGAATACGACAATTGGCAAGCGACTAGGCAAGCAACTAGAATAGCCGAAGAGCGCGGGGAAAGAAAAGCATGATGCCAAAAATATCACGACAAAGTGTCGATCTCTGGGGTAAAAGACTAAAATACGAGGAAGATCAGCGCCAACTCGTAAAACTCATAAACCTCGTGACATGGAAAACGACAGGAAGGGGTTGGGGAGCGTAATGTGATGAGAAAGCGAGCTAGCTTGGGATGCGTCCTCCAAGAGGATAAATTTGTTCCAAAATAAACATGTCAGTGTGGAGAAGTGTTTGGTATTTACACATTGAGAAAGAGCGGTAAGAAGCGATTTGAATTATTCCAAGTATCACTCTACTTGGAGGGTTTCCTATTGGACTTGTAATACGCTGGCTTATCATCGACAGTTACGAGACGGAAAGATTAAAAGCAAATAGTAACATTCAAGTTATTACTTTATGTAAAATAATTACACATGCTCTCTAACTATCGCAAGCTCTCCCCGTGCATTATATGCACATCCAATTGCAACCCCTATTTCTCGTTGAACCCGCCAGAAACCCTAATATAATACTCTCGCCCCCCTCTCCAAAACACCATCTCCAACTACTTCACCCCCCAAATGTCCAGCAACACACATCCCCAAATCCTCCACTCTATCCATCAAGCACAAAGGCTACGAGGAAGATGATCCAACCGAACCTCCCCAACTAGCACAGGTGCTCCCACCACACCACGACCACATCCCGTATCAAAAAAGCCCATTCATAATAACAGGAAAGAAGAAAATCGCTTCCGCACTTTTCCACGCAAAGGTATCCGGCTGAGAAACGCGACAAACTTTTGCTCAAGAGCCCATCCATCCCTTAGTTTCCCGTGCCATTTTGGAAATGCAGAACCAGCAAAAACCGCAGCAAATAACTCTGCAGTGAACCCAAAAAATCATTTGTACGAGAAGAAAAGCATAACAAAATAAAGGATATGTAGTAACATCGAAAGGAGATTAAAGAGATCCCAAACGACCCCTTCGATACCATGCGTTGCTACAAGCTTTTTATTTTCGGATCAAAAGTAGAAATGAAGGAAGAAATTATGAATATAATGCTCGGGAATGGGAGGATAGCAAATAAGAGTACAAATTCCTGGGTCTCATAAGATGAAGAAAACCGTAGTCCTAGTATGATACAGCGTCGAGATCGTAGGATATGGGAGAGAGATTCTGCGAGCTTTTGGGGTTTGGATGGACAAGATCAATACAGATCATGCGTTGGTTGGTTGAGATGGTCCGCGACCGCCTCGCTGGGCACCACCAGCTGGACCTCCACGACCACGGTTTTGTCCGAATCCTCCTCGTCCACCAGGTGGTCCACGATTATCTTGGAATCCGCCTCGGCCTCCTCGCTGGTTGGCACCACCTCTTCCTCCAGAGTAACCGTTTCCTCCGTAAGCACCAGCCTTTGGTCTGCGAGGCTCGACGTAAACTGCCTCGTCGCCAATTTGATGTGGGTTGGCGGCAGCAGCGGCATTGTATCCTTCAGCGGTAGCATACTCAACGAAGGCACAGTTCTAGCGAAAAGTCAGTATGATAAAAAGCATGATCGAGGGGGGTCACGTACCTTTCCGCGGTTGATGTCGAAGTAGACCAATGGACCGAAGGATTCTAACGCACCACGAAGACTCTCTGGGGACAACTTCTCGGTAACATTTCTGATGTAAGCCATTGTTCCCTTGTCTTCTGGAGGAGCAGAAATCGATTGAGGTCTGTTTTGTCGCTTGACATGGTCACCGGCTGTTTGCCATCCAACGTTCTCCTTCTCTTTCTCAGAGGCAGGGACAGCAGCTGGGGTAGCGGCTTGGGCGGGTTGGTTTGGAGTAGCAGCAGCCTTTGCAGGAGGGGCTGCGCGTGGTTGTGCTGGTGGAGTGGCAGTCTTTGGAGCGGCAACAGCGGGAACGGCGGGCTTAGGTGCGGATCCCATAGCGGCAGCAGCTCGACTAGCCCAGCTCAATGGCTTTGGAGGAGCAGCGGGCTGGGCTGGCTTTACTGGAGAGGCAGCGCGAACAGCGACGGGGCTTGGAACTGGGTCTTTTGGTTTCTCTTCCTCCTTGATCTCTTCCTCGGTTGCCTTCTCAGCTTCCTCGACTGAAGGCGTCTCTTTGGGCTCTTCTGCGGGGGTAGCTGGAGCTTCCTCAGCCTCCTCGACTGGCTCAGAGGTACCGTTGGTTACAGGTTCAGCAGCTGCTGGTTCCTCGATTGTCTCCTCTAGTTTCTTGTCAACGACATCGGCATCGAGAGTTGATGGAGTCTCCTCCTCAACTGGAGCCTTTGGCATTTCGACGTTTTCGGCGAGAGGTGCCTCCTCTGGTTCAGCAGAATTTGCAATTTCATCCTCGGCCTCATCCTTGATGTATCGGAAAATGTCGTTGAGAACGAAGTATCCAGTTGGCTGTTGTGCAAGGACGAAGGTTTGTACGAACTTCTTGAGCTCTGCAGACTTGTTGGAGGTCTCACCAATGACTTGGATGACGATGTTGTCGAAGGATGATTGAGAGTCGACGTTGGAGACACGGACCTTGCAGTCTTGGAAGTCGAGGTTACGGATTCGTTCTTGGATTGCCTGTACATATTAGATTATAACATTTACCCGAAGATTGATGAACTTACACCTCGACCAACGGAGACTGAAGTAATCTCCTGCTCAAGGCCAGAGACAAATTGGGAGCGCTTCCCATAGAATAGCTTTCAAATTGTCAGTGATAGCTTTACAAAGACAGCATATAGACTTACATGGAGCTTCTCTGGAGACTTGCTCAAAGTAGTATAGTATTGCTCCACAAAGTACCATCCAACCTCATCCTTAGACAAGTCATTACCCGACGCGCTTCCAGTATTGCTCTCAGGAGCACCCGAGGTGGCAGTGTATTGCTCAGGTGCACTCTTGTACTGATCCTGCTGTGTGAAGTTTCCGTTGGTCGCCATGATCGAGGAGAGTGGTGGCAGAGTAGACTGTTTAGTCTATCTCTAGTTCGAAGATGAAGGCTGCGGTACCGCGAGGATTGTAATTAAAACGGCGCTATAATCAAGCACAGCTGTAAGAGAGACCCAGGAGAAGGTAATTGAGGTAGGACGAATCGGTCTTCGAAAGTGACAAATCGAGTCCTGCTACGGATATCGAGCGCGTTTTTCTGAAGGACCAAAGGAGAGACGGGTGGGCGAGAAATCTAAAAGGAGATGAACAACAGAAGTTCAGTGTCAAATACAATAAGATTAGAAAGATTTTTGATGGAAGAACTGAAAAAAAGTTCTTGAGAGAAGGAGTGAGCTTCGGGGGAGAGGGAACAATTTGATCTTGTTTTGGTGGAGTGTAAATTGAGAGGTTGCTCGAAGTCGTTAGTACTGAGAATTTAGTTTGCCAAGGGAAATTGGCACGTGAGGCTGGAAAAGCGGGTCCAGCGACATCCTCTTCCTGGACGTCGAAAGCCTTCGGGTTTGGCATTCCTCTTCGCAGTACTTAGAAATTATCACAGTGTACAGTTCAGAGATGGATTGAAGCTCAAGTGTTTGAAATTCTAGTCTTTTTATGCTTTTCATATTCGACTGATAGATAACAGCACAATGATTGAGCTGAAGAATGCGTCGCATCTGAGATATGATACATCTTATCGTTCTCTCAGTCTTTACTAAGGCACATACCAGACATCTCAACCAGAGTCCTTGAGCGCAGTTCCATCAAGGTAATGCAAGACCTTGATACGTAGTTACCTCGCAATTAAGCGGCAAAGAAGCTAACAGTCCTTCATCAAATAACCCATCGTTCACAGCATCCCTCAATATTTCATCCATCCTGCCAACAGATGACCTGACAGCTCCAAGTGCACTTGAGTCCCCCAACAAGCCCTTGACTACAGCCTCCTTGACGGTTGCTTCCTCGTTCTCCTCCTTCTCCCTACTACTTTCGGTGAGTACCTTAGCGCCACGATAATACTTTTCAGCGTTTTTGATTAGTATTTCTTGGTTCTTTTGTGCAGCTGGAAACGCATTGCTACCGCGCCCAAGAGCGGCTCGCAAAAGTTCGATGTCGCCTCTTGTAATGAAGATCTTGCCAATGTTATCGTCATCACGAAATTTGGAAGCAGTAGTTAAATCGGTGGCAGCGAGAGAATATGCTTCCCATTGAAGCTTCGTGATTTTGGAGATTGTGCTAGAGCTACCAGATCCCAGTTGGCCGTCATGATCAGATATCGCTTGACTCGCAGTCGTAAATGTTTCCGCACGGTTCCATAGGCCTTGTGCGTGGTTCTGAAGATCGATATTAGACCAAGCAGTTTTGATGTTGTTAATATATGCCTAACATCATTTGTCAACTTCATTCGCGTAAGAAGAAGGTTCCAACAAGAACGTACCTCGAAATCATTTCCTGGCAAGCCCATTCGATATTTCGCCTCGGAGACAGCCGAAATGAGACTTGCTTGAGCTATTGCGCCATCTAGACCTCGCTCTGTAAGCTGGGAAAGTGATGATAACTGCTCTCGTAATGTTGGTGTACCAATTTCTTCAACTGTATGGAGAAATTTCGGAGCTTGGCCTCCTCCAAGGCGACTTGACCGACTACACAAGGTACTTAATGTCTCCACGAGCGCAATAATAGTATCGAGTACATCGTTTCTCGTGACAGGCTCTCTTACACTTACCCATTGTTCTTCTTTGCCACTTTGATTTTGGCTTGTTATATCTGAGCTGGCACCTTGCGCTGCTGGTTGCTTTGCGTCTTCTGTTTCTGTTTGTTCAGACGAAGCGCTGGCATTCGCAGAGGCAATTTGTTCCTCAAATTTAGCAAACTCAGCTTGTTGAATAGCGAAACAGCGATTGAAGAATCCAACTGCTTCTTCCAATAGCGAACAAGAAGTTGTATCCTCAGAACCTTGGAAGATGCTGTTTGCAGCAACCTCAGCTGCGAGGCTTGAGAGAATTTGGCCTGTGTTGCTGAACCTAGTCAGCACACTTCATTCATGGTGCGGAGTTCATACAAGAAATGCAGGAAGAAAAGAAAGCGAAATGAAGTCTGCCGTGAGTGGATGCATTTTCGGGTCTGCTATAGGACATTGAATATAGGAAATGGAGGAACGCAAACCAACGAAGTGATACTCAAAACTGCGGGTATGGAAGCTTGAGGATGCTTCGGAGGACATAATTTCTATTCCACTCGGGAGAGCTTCCAGCAGTGTTTTGCTAATCTGACGGGACACCCACTTTAATGAACGAATAAGGTAGTCAGCCCCCCAAAAAAATTACATTTAATCAATCTTTTCGAGTAAATATACAGTTTTGCTTTTATTCTAAAGAGTGAATATAATGGTTTAGGTAATAAGGATTGGTAGTCGGTACTGGCATCGATATTGTAGGAGGGTGTCCCGTCAGTCTTGCAACACACTGGTGTCCTGAGCGAGTTTATCATGTCCTGCATCCGAACATAGCCATAGAAGACATAGAAAAGCGTTAAGTAGAAGTTCTAGGTCAAAGTAGCGGATGCACTTGCACGGGCCTCCCGTTCATCCGCTGCCTTTGTAATATTGACTATTTTGCTGGACTTACAATTGAGCATCGGCATCGTCTGCTTTTAAATTAATAGCAGCTCGACTTGAATCTAGAGCTTGCTGTAGAAGGGATGCAAGTGTCCATGTGCCGTGAGGAAGTTGTTTCAGCAATTTTGGATACTGAGTCACTTCATACCTCAGCCTAGCAATGTTGTATGCCAGATCGAAAGAATCAGGGAAGTTCCTTAGACCGGTTTCATAAGCGTCAATTGCCTTTCCGAAAAATCTCATCGACTATCTTCTGTTAGCTGGCTTTCCGAATGAGGGAACACGAGTGAACCTTTGTGGCATCACCGCCTCTCCATTTCTCACCCGCTTCTTCAAAATCAACACCCTCTATCGCATCATTAGCATTGACCTGATAGAGTTTGAGAGGATATTTATACGAACCCGCAAGCCACTCGTCGGCCGTGGTGGGAGCCTACGCCATTTGTCAATCCCGACTTGGAGTATCGGTACTACGTGCTTACCTTCGGCGCATGCTTGGATTTTGACTTGCTTTCTCGAAGAAATTGCTTTTTCGGCATAGCTACAACTTGGAGGCACACCAGGCCCTGTCAAATCTGGGTCAAGTGATGTACTCGTGATTGCGGGAAAGGTCGACTGGTGAAACGAATTTGTTGCTTTCGAGGCGAAAAGTTTCGCTCCTACCAATAATTGGATTTTCATAATCGGAGCTTGTCCCACTCGTGTCGGCCGCTTAACGCAGTACTCCGAAGCACAGAGATGCTGCAATGGTTTTCTGCACTGTCATCGTACATCACACGAAGAAAATCTTCCATGCGATTAGTCTTGCTCAAGTGTATTCAGGCCAGGTCATAAAGGGTTTCGGAGATAAAAAACACCTCCATCATCGCCAGCGCAAGAGCTTGTTCGACCAACAGGTGGCCTGAGCCACGGGGAACGGCTGGCTGAATTTCCACGTTTTCCTGTGCCCTCGATGGGCGTTTTCCACGTGGCCGATCCCTGAATGACCGCAAGTGACCTCAAAACACCACGGACTAGAGACTCCACATCGTCGATCTTCGGGAACAATGTCTTGAATATCATCTTTTGTCTTATTTATATCACGAAGTTTATCCTTTCAAAGTGCCTCCTTTTATGGGACATTGTAGATGTCATAACTGGATTGGAAGTCGAGAAGAGCTCGGTTACCATGTCTTCGAACAGGATCAATTGCTGAGTCTTGAACCCCTTCAAAGCTGATATACTCTGGCATGTTCATAGTGACGTGCCTCCTTCGGGCAAGAGCCAGAATCCGGCGAGGATCAGCTGCGGTGAGTCTGATGGCCTCGCAATAACAAGCTCTGTTAACCATTTGATCTGCCAAACAAGGGGGCTTAATCGAAATCAACAGGTTCAATTTGGGAAAGAGTGCGCTGATAACCTCGCGCCTAAAGAATTATTCCGATATCCTCGTTTCAAAAGGTATCATGAATCCACCCTTCCTCGGCACTTCGCAAGAACCCTTTGTTTCGCTACGAGCCGAACTAAGCACCAGTCGCCCGTGGATGAGAACAGTTTTCCGCTGGCAACATTTCAGAATTTCCATGGCAAGGCAAAATGATTCTGTTACGAACTCACGGGATATGCTCATCGGCGTACGAGTAGCTTGATACCAAAAATAAACAGACATTAGTAGGAGGATCTCCACCCGTTCTCGCGTGTCTCCTCTTGGTGCCTTTCCCCTATCTTTTTAGCCAGCCCGGCCAGACTCTAGCTGCATGAGATGATATTTGCAACCACAACAACCTTCTCCTAGCAGAGGCTAAGACTCATGAAGAATACATCATCTGTAATAGTATAACCTCCTTTCTAACTTCTCAAAATTGACCATATGATTCACCACGTATTGTCAATTAAGTAAAGCATCATCCAGTACCAGCTTCCTCATTGCGCGCAAAGTTCCCTCGTCTCCCGACCCAGAACGCCCCACTAGGGAACGAACCGCTTCCAACGCACCTCCTGTTTGACATTGATCACATTTCCAGACTTCTGCTTTCCTCCGCTCCCGGTCAACCTCGTGGCAATAAATACACAAAATCAGGGATTGCGATCCTTCATCATACAAAGTTACATACTCACTTTCAACTGCATCTCTTGTGTCGCATCGCCCTATCAGCCTGCAGCTCCGGATCCAAGAACGACGCTTCATCCTTCGATCTGCAAGTCAGCAGATTCCACACCAACTTCGGCCGTCATACCGTAACATCTCATCTCGTTCTGCACAAGCACTCATTTTCTCTTCAAAGTCTCGATATCCCCCGAAGTTACAATGGGAAGTTCTCTCGAGTCATCTCGCCCGATCATGGCCGCCAGCGTAAGTTTGTTTATGCCTCCTGCCTCCCTATTCCTCCTAGACGACGGGTCGTCAGCCGCACCTCCTATCAACCTCTGTCAATTTCTAGCTGGACGTTGCTAACATCTTTTCTCTGTGACAGTTATCATCCAAACGCGCTTCCACGCGCCTCAGCACATACAGCACCACACCCTCTCTAGCCAACACTGTCAAGACTTCCCTGTCGTCAGCCTCAGCGCAACAAGAGATCAAGGATATCGAGGAAGGCCTTGAAAAGCTCGAGAACAAGAAACTCGAAAACCAGCGATTCGTACCCAGTCAGGAGAAGACCGAGAACCTCAGCAAATTAGCGTTAGGAGCCAAGCTAGAACGCGCGTTAGGAAGGAGGATGGGAGGTCAAGATGCTGTTATGCGCGAGCGGAAACCTAAGATTACCGACGACAATGCGATGAACGAAAAGACTGCTGCCGCTGCTGCTTGAGAAGACTAATGGGATTGAACGATCGATACATCAAACCAATGCGAAGGTATTCGAAAAAGAGAAAGAGGTCGAGTGATGACCATAGAAGGGAGGATATATTTGCTGAAAGGTCTGGGAGGTGATGATATGGGCTCTCGTGATGGCGTTCCTCTGTCGGGCTGTTTGTGCTTGCGATAATTGTCCTGCTTATACCATTTCGTTTTGCGCGCAGTATTGTTGTTTTATACAATCACCGGGAGAGTTATCATATTCAGCTTTTTTGTAGCTGGGCACATATTCGAATATCGATTGATTACGAAATACCAACATAAACTCTCTTCTCCTGTCGATCAAGTCTAGAGTGGGCTTACTATAATATATGCCCAAGCCCAAGGAATCTCACTGCTTGCGCGGTTCACAACATTGAATATCTCATAGGAAGACGCATCTCACATAGGATGTCCGAAGTTCTCTGTTATCGTCTTCTGTCATTGTGCAACACCGATAATAAGCTTCCAGGTTAAAGCTTACGACATCTTCTGTATCTCGCATTCCTTCTTCAGGCAAGTCCATCGTTAACCTCCTGCCACATTCATTATCCCGCTCATCTACCTATCCCCGCATCGTCCATCCATTTTACTTTTTCAAATCCGTGGCTTCCGTAAATAGATTGCCTTTGGTGGGTGCATTGTTTCGTCCAACATACCAGCTGGGTATTCCTCGCTTATGCAGTCATGTAGTTGGGAGGGGAAACTTAACCATAATGTGTTATGCGATGTACTCGGGGTGCGACTAAGCTGCTTGGGGTTGGAGCTGTAGGTGGGTTGTTTTGTGGTGTTGGTATGGAGGTATGTACACGTGGGTTGCAGGCTCGTGGTAGACAGTACAGTATACCTTAAAGGAGCTAACTACAGGTAGGTGTATGAGGTAAACTCTTGACTCTATTACAGTACACTTAACCAAGACCACATTTCAGCTCAACAAATCTCGAACGATATCTACAAATTACAATTACTTCCTCGGTCAGACGAAGTAAACAGTATCATGCAAGTCATTCGACTACCTAGACGGACCAGTACTCAAGTACCACTTATTCCGTCTGCCACAGCGCCAGATTGAGCCTACGTGCGTACCCCGTACCACGCAAGCGGAGTAAAAAAGACGGGGTAGCGACAAAGTTTTGTAGCTTCCTTTTCTCGACATTTTTGCTTTTTCCTTCTTTTGCTTGTTCTGCTCGGGGATTTTGGGTGGGTGAGATGAGGTATGATTGGTCGGGTTTGAGGATGATCGGGTGGTGGCACATGGCTTGGGATGTGGAGAGACATTGTCATCTGGTGAGATGGACGTTGCGAGCGACATGTTGAAGATGGATGCTCTTCAACATTCGATTCTCTCGTTTCTGGGCCGTCACGATCTCACGCCTGGACACTTGATACCTTGTTTGTCGTTCTTGCGGGCTAGATACCCAGGTCAGGAAATCAGACCGATACGGGTGCAAGGCTTTTGTTCTATCACGTACTCGCTGGGAGATCAGTATATTATTCAGATTCGTCCGAGGGTTTATCCTTTGGATCTTGAGACTCTGGCGGTTGCGAGAGATGTGTATGGCAATCATGCGCCGAGTGTGAGGTTAGTCAAGAGATTTGGGAATTCTGGACTCGAGATCTATGAGATGAGTCGTGTTCAAGGGATTTCGTTGCTGGATCATCGGTTGGGATGTGCAGATTCGAGCGGGTTGAAGGGATTAGTAGATGGATTTGCCGAAGTGCAGATCTTGGGATACAAGTCTTGTAAAACTGAAGGGTTTCATAAAGGGTTGGTAGGTAAATCGTTGGAGTATCGGTTGAAACTTTTGGAAAGGGATCTCCCTGTGAGGTTCAGACCAGTCACTAGATATGTTGTCGATCGTCTCGACGATATCGTCACTTTACCGTGGGTATTTACGCATGGAGACCTAGTACCGGGAAATATCATGGTAAATCGCACCGGAGATCGCATTTTGGGACTTGTGGACTGGACTGAGAGTGAGTGGTTGCCGTGTGGAATGGGATTTTATGGACTTGATATTATTCTGGGAGAGGGAGAAGGAAGTGCTGGTTTGAAAAAGAGGTTCTGGGAGAGGTTGGAGGTGGGGATTCATGTGGAAGGAGGCTGGAGAGGATTCAAAAGAAGAGTTGAGTTGGCGAGGATACTTGGAATATTGCTTTGGTTTGGAATTGCCTGGGATGAAGGGAGGAGAGATAGGGTGGTTGAAGAGGGAAGAGATTTTGAGGAGGTTGAGAGGTTGGATGCTTTTCTGGGAAATATTGATGTGTACGCTGAGACAGAATCCAAGTCGTCTGAGGATATCTTGGTGACTGGAGGCAGAATAAACTCTAAACTCTGATCTGGGGTTCCAGCAGGGACCTTTGTTAGATTTTTACTCACTTGTCCGAAAACATCTTCAGAATTCATCTAGTAACTTGCTTGTCAAGAAGATAGGCTTTACACAATACAGTTCTGCCCAAAAGCGCAATGGCATTGCTGAATTTCAACACAGATGGCTTGGTTATCAGATAGATAAATAATGGCGAGGAGATATTGCATTTCCTTTTACAACGCCTGGGTTATCCTGTCTTAAACACAAACCTAAAACGATAAGTGCCAGGGAGATTTTGTTTACTCTCTCTGAGAAACTAAATAAGATACTTGATCTACTGTAGATGACGATATTATAGCTAATAAGTAGATGAGATCGCGGTAAAATCTGATAGTCCACGAAGCTGGAGCTGACCAGCGTTTTACTGGTCTTAGCAAATCTGCCTGTAGTCTCCTTGTGTCATTTCAAGGGCCTATAGTGAGATTAGCTTAGTGATTTCTTGATGGTGTGCTTTGTAATAGGCAACCTAATAACTACTACTCAAATAAACTTTTGCGGGGTTGGCGAGCACAACCAAAACAGTACATCATGTCGCTTTTAAAAAATGGATCGGAGTCTGGATATCCGTCATCCTGAATATGAAAAGACATTGCGAATGACGGTTGGTTCATCATTCAATCATTTTGACAATATATTGTTGTTATTTCATCCCTTCTTGAACTTCAAGAGGAGTCCGCTCACGTGATAGACCCGCTTTAATTCGCGCTCTCCGAGCTTTCGTCGCGATCGCGTAAAGTGCTGCTTCCCCATCAACCTCATCGCAAACCTGGTCGTGCCTTCCTCCCATCCCATACCACACCTCACATACTCAGCAAAATGGCGATGTAAGTTTTTATCCGTCTAACATATCCAGAAGCGCAAATGTCTCAACGCGCCCCGCCCAATCTTGCAACTACTAACATCGTTCGCACCACTAGGGAAAGCTTCGATAACATCTATCTTGATCTCAGCAAGGAATCCGGAAAATGCAGATTTGCGGAGACTGGATTTGGTTGGAAACCATCGGGTGGAGGTGAAACGTTCACAGTGGACAGCAGCACAGTTGGAGGTGCGCAGTGGAGTCGCGCCAGTAAAGGTTACGAGGTGAAGGTGCTGTTGAGAAATTCGGGGGTTGTGCAGTTGGATGGCTTCTTACAGGAGGTGAGTCTTTGGCCGGCGCATAAATGGCAACGATCATTGTGATTGAATGGTGGTTAATAGACGAAAAACAGGATTTTGAGCGCATAGGCAAAGTCTTTAAGAATTTCTACAGCACGAATCTCGAACATAAAGAACACGCATTGCGAGGTTGGAATTGGGGGAAAGCAGAATTTGGGAAAGCAGAATTGGCTTTCAACGTGCAAAACAGACCGGCCTTCGAAATTCCGTATTCAGAAATCACGAATACCAATTTAGCGGGAAAGAATGAGGTTGCTGTTGAATTTTCGCTCCCAGCTAATGGAGATGATACCGGTACAAACGGCTCATTAGGTGGTGCGAGGGGCAAGGGAAAGAAAGCAGGAGCGGGGAAGGATCAGCTTGTTGAGATGCGGTTTTACATTCCTGGAGTTACAACCAAGAAAGAGGCTCTGGAGGGCGATGATGCGCCCAGCGATGCTGAAGGCGACGAAGAGCAAAATGCTGCGAATCTATTTTATGATACCCTGATGGACAAGGCCGAGATTGGAGAGGTTGCTGGTGATACTTTCGCAACTTTCTTGGATGTTTTACATCTCACACCAAGGTATGTTCTCTCCATCGTCTTTTGTGCCTAAACTAATTCTGTGCAGAGGACGTTTCGATATCGATATGTACGAAAACTCCTTCAGGTTGCGGGGCAAGACATACGACTACAAGATCCAGTATGAACACATTAAGAAGTTTATGTGTTTGCCCAAGCCTGATGAAACTCATTTCATGATCTGTGTCGGTCTTGATCCACCACTTCGACAAGGTCAGACGAGATATCCATTCTTGGTAATGCAATTTAAGAAGGATGAGGAAGTGACAATCGATCTCAATATGACTGAGGAGCTATTGAAGGAAAAATATGGAGGAAAGTTGGAACCACACTATGAACAACCCTTCCACCAAGTCGTTACAGCAGTCTTCCGTGGCCTTGCCGCCAAGAAGGTCAATCAACCGGCAAAGGATTTCTCCAGTCATCACGGTCAATATGGCATTAAATGCTCTATCAAAGCCAGCGAAGGTTTCTTATACTGCTTAGAGAAAGCTTTCATGTTCGTCCCAAAGCCTGCAACATACATTTCTTTCGAGCAAGTCAAGACTGTCGTCTTTTCCCGCGTTGGTGGAGCTGTCTCGGCAAGCCGAACCTTTGACATTACAGTCCAATTGAAAGAAGGAGGCGAGTCACAATTTTCAAATATCAACAGGGAAGAGCAGAAGCCTCTCGAGGACTTCTTTAGAATTAAGCAACTTCGCGTCAAGAACGAAATGGAGGAGGACAACACCGCCATTCTGAAAGCCGCTCTTCGCGCAGAAGAGTTACAGAGCAGTGACGAAGAAGTTGTTGCAGCACGTGCGGATAGAGGTAGCGCAGCCGAAGATAGCGAAAGCGACGATGAGGATTTCAAGTCGGATAGTGACAGTGATGTCGCCGAGGAGTTCGACTCTAATCATGAGAGTTCGGGAAGTGAAGATGAAGATGGTGGTCCTGCTAGTGATGCTGAAGAGCGGCCGAAAAAGAAGGCGAAGACTGGTTAAAAATATGCTTGGGTAGGAAAGGAAAATCGCATTTCCGGCGTTTAGGGGTTGTATAATAGTAGGCAGGCAGAGTTGTTCAATTATGGAGAACTCGACGGATAATACAATATATCAACGGCGGGCAATGTGCCACTCGAGAACTTGTGGTTGAGAGGCAAGTGATAGATAGGACTTCATCAGCCAGCGGGTCCTTCAAACGCTTGGTTTCTCTAGCGAGATGCGATGCCTTCTTAAACTGGTCTATCATTTTATTGCGTTGCAATAGCTTAAATGTCACCACGCTCATGAAGCATTATGCGGTTCCTGCAGCCTTTTTCGACAGCAAAGCACCTTTCTCCACTATCATCTTATTCAACACCAACTCCTCACCACCATTCACCACGAGCTCGACCATAACTGCAGCCAACGTATCGATCCTTACGGTCAGCGATGACACGTTACCAATCACCTTCCCTACGATATTGTTGCCTGTAATACCGGCCGGCTTGACAATGGATACCTTCGCAGCGGGATTTTCCTTGCCGAACCTTAGCAGATTCGTCTCTGCGAGACCCTACACAAGTTTCAGTGTTGCAATTTGCACGCTTGATAAAGGGGCAAAGAGACGAACTCGTATATGTCGGCCCTTACTGAGAAACCATAATGATCTTGTTTGATCGTGCTCAGTAAAAGCGCCCCCTAAATAGACATATCGAAACGTCTTTTTCCCATCTAGTACTCTTGCCAAGGCTTTTTGGAATACTTCAGGATACTCGACTTCCGCGACCTTATCCCAGTTGTATGTTCCCAATGACCTATTTGATCACACATGTCAAACGTGGTTCTCTCCAGTGCATCGTTTGCAGGTCTGTCAATGCTATATGAAAGGCGAGGACTCACCATATACATCCGTCCGCTCTCTTTATAGCGTCAAGTGCGGCATCTGGATAAGAGAGGAAATCATCGATTATGATGACGCTTAGTTGTGGGTTTTGAACGGCTTGTGGTAGAGCGCGCCGCGAGAAAGCGACGATGGATGTTATCTGTGGTGAAGCGAGACATTGTTCAAGAACGGCAGAACCGATGCGGCCTGTGCTACCTGTAAGTATTATTTCCATAACTTGAGACAGTCTGTGGATGGATGAATAGAGAATGTTAAGATTTAACAAATGACCTGCGAGAGGACTTTGATGCTTTTATATATGGGAATTCATTGACAGAACATCCGACCAACATTTGCCCGTAACCCGTCCCACTGTAAGCCACAAGTAAGCCATATACACACGTGATGAGTCTTAAGAATACCTAGGTAGGTAGTGGATCTGTATAAGATTGTCGACATGTATTTGTATGTGGAGAAGTTGAGTAGATGGTATTCTATCAGAAACTCAATACTTAAGCGTTCGATATACTAGCGAAGTAAATTACTTACTTCCTGGGTTTAAGTTTTCTTTAGCCGGTCGTGACATCCGGCGCAAGGCATAGAAGAGATAATGTAGTATATTTACTTGACTAAATTGAGTGAAATAGCTTAGTCGCTAGTGACTATCGTCTATCTACGTAAAGACCAGAATGTTCTATCAGTTCCACAGTATACAATGCTACGCTGGTGATATGAGGAGTACTATTCGACTACTCTATCAACTTCATCACTCTACCGCTCCTAGCACTCGCGACATACAACAAAAGATCTACAGGTGTGTGACTTACCTTTAAGCTTTGTGTGGGGAAGCGGAGAATTTGTTGCATGTCGCGATTCTTAGGATGCTGATATTTGGTGTAGGATAGCTTGGGATAAGGTGTAAGAGGAGTGACTTCTAGTTAACCAATCATCTTGAGAAATTTAAGCTCTCTGGTAGTGTTTAAGAGGCCCTAGAAATTGCGATGTGCAACAAAATGATTTAAGGGTGTAAGATTCACCTTTGAGGTTGTGTTAGGGGAGGATTTGTTGCATGTCGTGATTCTTAGGATACTAGGGTTATAGGTGTAGGGAGATATACATACTAAGAGGAAAGTACTAGGAGCAGGGATTTAGTGAAGGATAGTATGTGAGAGAGGTTAGAAGGTCTGTTATAGAAAGTGCGATATGCAACAAAAATCTCAAAATGTACAATTCGCTCTAACACTCACCTTTAAGCTTATTTTGTAGGGGTTTTGTTGCATGTCGCGATTCTTAGGATGGAGGTCGAAACATGTAAGGTTGGATATAGTTCGAGATAGTTGGGTAGTAGGGAGAAAGCCTTAAGTGACTTTCTCGTCTTAATAGATTTTAAACAGAGTTTAAATATACCTTATTTACTTAAAACAGTAGAGGAAATAACGATATTTCGTCTAACCTATTAAAGAAACGTCGTCTCGTAAGTAATTCTTACTTTACCCCTATAAGCGCTCGAACTTTTCTATTAACTTGAAGTATAATATAGAGAAGCGCCCTAAATTAATATTAATATTAAATATACTTTAAAAATAATATATTGACTAAAAAACACTAACCGGAGACACGATATCCGGTTAATCTAGTAGAGGAAATATTAAATATTAACTACTACTTAATGTAAATACCGCGAAAAAGAAGGAATATAATACTTTCTTTAACTAGATTTTACTAGTCGATTCACAAGAGTTAATCTGTTAATCTAAGAAAATTCAGCGGCGCCTACTATAATTACACTCTTGTGAACCTACTTTAAGGGGCAGAGTTCTTCATACTTATATATCTAACCTTTAGGGTAGTGGGTCTAACACTTAGCCTATTGTGATTCTGTGCGGGGGACGTAGGAGAGAAATCCGGGAAATGAAAGGTTAGTTACTTAGGAATAAGAAACAATACGTCATATTAAGTTCACAGGTAAAAAGTTTGCTGCTCGCATATTGATTTGGTCGCTGGCATAATTTATAGACTTCAAAACCCCAGTGGTATTCTATCATCCATAATCGTTCTGGCACGGTTTTAACCCTTTCACGGTCCGCCTGAGCATATCCTCCAACTCACCCCCCACACAAAAGATCTTAACGACGAGTTTTCTATTTTCAAATGCCGCTTCAACATGCCTGAAAGCAAAGACCATCTTCCCATTCATCGCTATAATTGCACAACCCCAGGCAATTTCATTACCAATATGTACAAGCCGAGTCCAACGCCGCATAATCCATCGAGGGAGGGGGTATCATAATATAAATCAAGAACATCCTCCAGCGCCTACGCAAATACCTCATGGCAAAGCAGAGCAGTCCATATACTTTTAATTGAAATATAGGCAAAAGGAGAAAGGAAAGAAGGGAAAATTTGTGTACATGATAAGAAAGTCGTTCATCATAGCGGACGTGGAGGAGCAGAACTAGGTGGCTCAATCTGAGGGTTGCCTTTGGCAGATGAAGGCGTTACAGCTCGCTGGGAAGAACTCGTTACACTTCGACGACGATTGGAGGTCGTACTTGACCTGGCGAGTTCATCTTTCGCCCAGTCGGGAAGCTGTACCGCCAAAGGTTGAGATTTATGCTGCGCTTTACGCCGCTCCGAGGCTTTTCGAGCGTCTCGTGCATGTTTCTCTGCGGCGCTTCGAGGTGGTTTCTTTATAACAGATGTCTTGAGAGAATTGACTGAAGGTCTCTTGCTCATTGCGGCGTACATCGGTGTCTATGACAAGAATTAGCAGACGCTTAAAGGCCAGCCATCCTACGAAAACCATTTTTCAGAAAGTTCTTAACAGATGATGCGGGCTGTGATGATGACTGGAGTTGTGGTGAGGGCTTTTCAGACAGCACTTCGACTGAAGAAGCAGGTGGAACGCTTACATCGCTCGTCGTTGTTTTTGCGGACTTGAATTTAGATAACGAAGTGGGAGGCTTGTCATGGTTTTGCCACAGTGGTGATGGCTGTGGAGCCTTTCCACCTATCTGAACTCCAGGCAGAATCAATTGACTGTTACGATGAAGGAATTCCTGATTACCGGCAGCATCGCTAAATGCAGCAGCATCACTTGGTGCTTGCCGTCTAGGTAGTTTAACAGGGTGAGGGTTGCGAAAGACAGTAGCAGGACTTGAGGAGCGTTTTGAAGAGCCTACATTTCTAACATCATGTCTGGAACGCTCCAACGATTGATCGGATCTCAAAGCGTTGACTTTCTTGTGATTTGGCGATTTGGCGATGACCTGAGACGGCGTTGATTCTGAGGATGTGGATCCGGCTCTTGTCCCCGCGCCGAGTATCGGTGATTGTCCACGTCTTATCAATGGAGATGTAGTGTGTTTCACTACAATAGGTGGTCGAATGGGGCCGTTTTGTTGTCGTTCACCCAGAGATGTATTCTTGGTTGGAGGTAGGTCGAACTCTGCTGACTTGAACAGTGTTGATTCGGCTGGTGTTTGAGTACTGCTTGGTGTGACAGGAACAGATGCTGAAGTCTGTGACGATGGTGGCAATATCCGCGTCTCCACGGCCCTGGTAGGAGTGGATATTGGAGGAATAATTGAAGCAGGACCAGCTTCAGAGGAGTTTAGGGGGATGACTTTTTGTTGTGGCTGCACGTTGGCTTTTGTTGCATTGGATTGCTGAAGCTGAATTTGAGCTCGTGCGTTGACGTGCATTCTTGCTGCCTCCGTTTGACGAGCATGAGCTCGCGCCAACTCCTGCGTTTTTGCTATATGCGCCGCTTGCTTCGCCGCGTATGCCTGCGGATTTGTCCGCTTCAGCTTTTCATCATCTAGCATCTCCTTAACTTCCTTTTGCTCAGCGGCGTCAAGCACATTTTTGTCGTCCTGCGCAAAGGTATCCGATTGCAGTATTTTTCGCAGGATGCCCGAGTCCTTCTCTGAAAGCAAAAGCCTATCCAAAACTTGAGGGTCCAAACCCGTAAATTCGGATATGTCATGCTGTTCAACTAACTTCGGCTCAAAAAGAAATTCGGACATTTTCTTCTTCGCATAAGCAATCACGCTCTTCTTATCTACAACCTGGGATGCTAGCTGGGTTTTGTAGATGGTTTTGTTTTGAATGACCTCTTCAAAAGTTCCGCCACAGATAAGTCGGTACACAAACGTAGGCTTCTTTTGTCCAATGCGATAGGCTCGACCAATGGCTTGTTCCTCCTCAATTGGGTTGAATTTGAAGTCGAAGATCACTACACGGTTGGCACCTGGGAGATTGAGTCCCAGACCACCAGCAGTAGTCGAGATCAAGTAAATCTCAGTGTTGTTGGTGTTGAAGTTCTTTGTCATAGTTTGACGACTACCCATATCTGTCTTGCCATCTAAGCGAGAAAGACTTCTGCCTTGAGATCTGAGTAGTTTTTCAAGGAAATTGAGTGTTGGAATGGATTGAGAAAACACAAGGACTTTGTCTTGTGCTTCTCTTGCAGCGTCTAATATTTGACAGAGTATCTTAACCTTGTTCGAAAGACTAGGCGTTTCGATATCATCGCATTCTTTGTTGAACAATGCCAGCTCTCTATTTACCAGAATATCAGAGGCACCAGTCTTCCAAATCGACACTGTATTCAAAGATTAGCAAAAGAGTACAGACATGCATTCTTGCACTTACAATCGTCTGGATCCCCGTCGTCTTTAGAAGTAGAAACAGCATTTTCCTGAGAGGCTGCAGCCTCTTTGGCATCGGATTTTCGGTCATTAAGCTTGGTGTGAAAACAGGCAGGGTGGTTGCAAAGAAGCTGGAGAACAGCTATCCAGTGCCAAATGGTGTTCTGAGTCAGATCGCCATCCTTGGTTGTACGACCTTCACCAGAAGTCATAAGGCGAACGTAAAGCGAGTAAGCCATTTTTTGAAGATTTGTGAGTGGTACGAATATGATGAATTCCTTCATCGGGGGCAGGTCATGTCGCAGAACCGACATATCTGCTCGGTGTACCTTTGGTGCGATATCCTCTTTGAGCACTGCTAGCATCTTCAGACTCTTGCGTCTTTGATAGCCAGTACTATCCTGGTACAGGCCTTCCTCAATTGGCTGCACGTACTTTTGATTGAACTCTGCGATGGGGCCTAAATAGTTGGGTGCTACCCAATCAATCATTGTATGATACTCTGTGACGTTGTTGGACAACGGAGAGCCAGTCAACGCTATACGGCTCATTGACTTGAACTGAAATGCTGCAGTAGATACTCCAGACTTAGGATTCTTCAGCTTATGCGCCTCATCTGCAATGATAATATTGGGACCTTCTAAAAGGGCCTTTAAAATTTGGGCATGTTGTTCATCGTCGTATTTGGCTTCTCGCGTTTTGGTAGCATTATTCTGAATGAAGGTCCTGAACATTCCGTATCCCATCAAGAGAACACCCCCTTCTTTATACCAATGAGAAATATATGGTAGCCTGGAAGGGATCTTTACTGTAGAATCAACTTTGAGAATATCTCCAAGAAGATTATGTGGCGCCCATGTCAATAATTCATCTAGCCAGTTATCGATAATAGTCGGAGGGCATAAAACCAACGTGCGAGATTGGCGAAGTCGTGGCGGAATTTGAGATCTTACCGTTGGATCATCAGATAGAGACGCCTCGGCGATGGCCACAAGAAGGGTAATGCTTTTCAATAATTAGCGATATCGGGGGTGAGGTCAATCCTGCACTTACACTTGCATTGTCTTTCCGAGTCCCATCGTGTGAGCAAGTAAACACCCTTGCATAGCGTCACCATCACCAACTAATTGATTCCACATGAAGCGAACTCCTTCAATCTGGTGCTTCTTTATGCGTGGCGCTGTATTGTTGGTCACCAATATGTATCCCTGATCATCTGACTTGGCATCGTTTATTATTATCTGTCCATGGTCTTCATCGTTCCCATGACCAGTCTGGGACAATTTCAACTGCAATCTCATCCTTCTTTCATCTTGTGCCGCCTTGCGGGCTAGATTCTGTTCTCTAAGATCTTTGGCATCAGTATTCTCCAGGAGCTTCTTCCGTTTCTTCCGGGGGATGTCATCTGGGGTTAAATCGTCTTCGCTCATCCTGTCATGGAATTAGTTAACAGAAACCTGCAGATCAACATTATGTGGCTTACGAAGGTGCGAGCTGTGGGCGTCGATTTCGGATTGCAGATACTGGCTCACCATCTTCTTCATCCTCTGAGGGCTCTGTCGCTGGGGTTTGGCTCTTGCCGCTGCTCTGAAAGCCAGCATCTTCTTCAAGGGCGCGTTCTTGGTCGCTGATCTTACCGATTTTGCTCTTCTTAAAAATTATGGAGGAAGGGGCAGTTGAAGGTTTGCTCGTCCGACCCTTGAAAACGTTTACGATTTCGAGACAAAGCTGATGGAAGGGGCCATAGTGCTCATGCATTTGAGCGCCTCTCAAAGCTTGGATTTTGAGAGGGTTTGGCGGGATAGTGTATCTACGATACTTGCAGTCGACGTATATCTCGTATAACGCAACTACAACTATGACAAGGTCATATAACGATACACCCATTCCGGGAACATGAAAGTCTTGCATCGCACAAGCAGACATGACGTTGTTCATGTGGACCCAAAGGTGAGCCGCGTTCAGCCTAGAGAGGAGATTGAAGGTACGCCGGCGGAGCTCGGCCGTCATTTTCTGGAAAACAGCAATGAGCAGCCCCCGTCGATCCTTACGAGCCTCCCAATCCTTGAAAGAAAGTTTACTGATTGCTACAGGGTCGTTCTTCAGGTCCCGTACGCGTGGGGGACTAGGGGAAGCAGTTTCGTCGTCAGTGATCGTAATAGCACCTGAACCCGCAAACTTAGGAGGAGTATGACGGAGTATAATTTTCGGCCTCCTCTTTTCGGGGGTAACCAAGTCATAAATCACTTGGTTGTCATCAGATGACAATTCAATGATATCCCCAGAATTGTGAGTTTTCGGCATACTAAGTTTACCTGGCGTGGAGTCCTCGATTTTCGGGCTTAGCAGGGCGGAGTCTGAACCTGTATTGGGACTGGCAGGTTTAGAGAAAACCTCGGAGGGGTGTCGAAAACTGGAACCCTGATAAATGATCTTGATCTTCTTGTCAGGGGTCACCGGCGATTCAGAAAGACTGGCATCTGACATGGTCATAGCATTGTCGCTTATTTCGGCATCCGCCAGATTTAGCTCGCAATTTTCCTCACAACCAGAGTCTTCAGAGGCGATGAAATCATCTAAACTCTCACCTGAGCTCGAAGACTCCGGTTCATCCTCCAGCGACTCACCTTCCTCTTCAACAGCGACTTTGGGTAGCTTGACCTTTGGCGTCTGCTTGGCTGGTTTTTCTGGACGCTCCTTTGATCCTAGCACACCCATCGTCCATTTGGCTGCTTCTCTGTCGAAAACAGTTCCCTCCAATATCGTCGACTGCTTCAAGACTTGAATTCTGCTCGTCCAGGGTTGTTTTGAAATAGCATCACGCAACTTTTGGAGACGTGTCTCTAACGATTCAAGTTCGTTCTTGATGGCTTTGATATCCAGCTTCAGACTTTTCTGTTTACGGGATTTACACCATATCTTGTAAGCCTTGTGTTGGATTTTTGGCAGTTTATTTTCCCTCCAGCGAGTAGCATGTGAAGCAACTGCCTCATCGATAATGAATTCCACTTCTTGTGCGCTGAGCGGCGGCTTTCTGGACTTTCCAACTTTTCGATCCAGTTTGATGCCTTTGTCGGCCTCTATCTCACGTAAAGTCGCCTCGTCGTAATCGTTATCTGAATCAGATTCGCCATATGCGGGCAATATCTCGTCACCACCCTCGACGCCCATATACTTCTCTAAGGCTTCATAATTCCACTCATTATTCTTATTCATCATGCTTTCCAGCATATCAGGTCCCGCAGGATTGAACGTCACCGTTCTGCCCTCTATGTCACTGACTAGATGGGTGTCGTCCTTGGAGCCCACTTCTGGCCAAGACGCAATGTTCTCTCGTGTGATATCGATATGTCCTTCCACGGGGCGATAGAGCGTGAACGATGTTGTCGAGAATTTAGGCCTCAGTTCTGGCGAATACGGAACAACGGCAAACATTTCCTTCCCTCCTCGGGTGAATGCAATGGGCTCGGATCGAAAGAATCGTTTCATAACACTATGCACATAGAGTCGACGACCAGGTGGTAATTTTGTGGGAGCCACAACGAATTCGAGTTCTGCTTCAGGCAGGGAGGCGTCAGCTCCTATAGCAGTATTCTCGTAAAAGACATCATCCACAAGAAATCTTTTTCGATCAAGGTAGCTTGGTGGTGGAATCTTAGATGCGGTATTTCTCGCTTCAGCAACTACAAATTTAATATTGCCATCCCCGATCGTCGCGTCAGATGATACCGGACCTTGAACGTCAGGTGATTCCTCTAGGACAGTATTACCCTGTTCCCTTGGCTCTAAAATGTCGACATTAGATTGTACTATGGGTAACATTCGCTTCCTGCCATTAAGGTCAATATAAGGTTTTCCAGGTTCAACAAATGGAGGTGGTGTCATCGATAGCCGCTGTGCAATGAACTCAGAGTTCTGGCCAGCATCGAGGCGAGGTTCTGTAGATTCTGCGACCGGTTGAAAAGAAGAGGTTCCGCTCCGAGAATCAAAGTCAACCACGTTGTCAGCATCAAGGTCAGGGTTTTCGAAGTCAACAGCTGGATCCAACGAAATCGGCTCATTGTGTAATTTGAATCTGATAGCCTCCTCAGCATATGTAAGTATGTCTCGATTTCTGGTCGGATCAATAACGGTGGTGACGAGAGTTGGAGCTAAGCGTTTTCTTTTCTTGCCGTTCACGTCAACGAAGGAAAGACAACCAGAGACCGGAACATCAGCCATCGCGTCGAGCGCACCTTGTGCGCCGTGGGGCTCTTCTATTGGAGAATCACCTGTCATCGCTGCCCCAAGAAGATCATTATCGATCACAGCTGTCGCATTATCAAGCTTGGGTTTCTTTCTGTTTGGAGACCCGGTTGGATGCTCGCCATCAGTTCCTGGCTGTCCCTCTGAATCGTCTGGCGTAATACTAGATAGAATTGGAAAAGGCGGGTCCGCGTTCCCTCTATTAGTAGTTGGCACAACCAGATCAGCGACCGAAACACTTTCATGAGACCCGCCAGGTTGTACGCCACGATGGCTTGTCGTGTGAAACAAGTCGCTGCCTATAGTATGGGTATGCCGGTAAGAATGGTATTTGGGGGATCTCAGTTGCAGAGCACGGATAGCATCTCGCATCCAAGATCGATGGCCGAGCTTTGTGATACCGAGGTCATCTTTCATTTCAGAGTCTCCCACGTCCAAAAGGATAGTCGTACCTACAACCGCGTTGTCTCGTAATTTGGTCTCCAGGGCTTCGGGGTCTGGTCGGGAGGCATTGTTGACCGAAGACTGCCATGTCCGATTTTCTGTGCATAGTTCCTGGACTAAGCGGTCGATCGCCCAATCCCATGGATCATCGATATCCATATCTACGGTCGTCTGCTGTTTCAAGAAGGTGGTAATTTCTGCATTGAGATCGGGCTGGTTAAGTATCCATTTTGCGACAGCTGTTCGCGAACCTGCGGATATAAAGTTAGTCATTGGCTTGCAGTAAATTGAGAAGTGAAATTGTAATCGCAACCGAGCAAGAAAGAGTCATGTGTACAAGATCAATCTCGAGCGGGTTAAAGGAGATGTAGGCTTGTGAGTAGCAGTGCATCTGTTTCGAGGAACTGAAGAGTATAGTAATGGGAGTGGTTTGCATACTCTATGAGGGAGAAAGTCGTCTGAGAAGAGAAACCCAAACCGTAAAATCGTTGAAGGTGAGTTTTGCGAAAACAGATCTCAAGTCGTGGTATGTGAAATAGTACCTAGGTACGAAAGGTATTGTTGAAAGAATGCGAGTTCGCCGGTCGTCAATCGTGAGTTTAGAGAGTCGAAGATAGATATTGTAGCCGACTTATGTGAGAGAAGGGCAGATGGCAGATGTACGGATGTGTCAGAAAAAGTTGAAGTTTGAAGGTTGAAGATGAAGATATATTGAGACTCCTGTGTCGTTGTCGCTCTTCACTATCGCAATCAATTCACGCGATAGGCTTCGCGTCTATCAAGGTTTAACCGATTCCCATCAATCCTGACCCTTGAAGGTATTTTGATAGAGGCACCCTCGAATCAATAAATTGGACCTCAGGATGTTCCAGAAGTTGAGGGAGTTCAACTGCTGGGCATACACGTATGCAATAAGTTTTGTAAACTATGGTATCTGTAATGAATGTCCGAAACATCTGCAAGAGGAATCATGTTGCTCTAGTTCTGGTAAAAGACGGTGTATATGTTCTTCTCCGACATTGAATTTGAATAAGTCCTCGGGTTTGGGTTCGGGCCGGGATTGAAGACTTACAAATCGCATCATTTCAACGTGGGAAGTCTTCACCCATTTAGAGAAGTCTTCAACTTTCAACACAACCTAATTCTCGACGTCCGCCGACATACTTAAGCAAAATACCGCAGCCTTGCCTAATTTGGATTGTATTCTGTCTGAGAAACCGTATTTCCTTTCGTTTCCTAACAAGCATTATTACAGTAATGGCCCCCACTACTTCAGAGCCATACCCTCCAGAATTGTCAAGCGCGGAAATAGATCAGCTTATTTTCACGATAAAAGACTGGACAATCGCTCATGGATTAGCAGTCAGACCACCGCCAGCTCTTGTAGCCACGGAAAATGATCCTAATGTGATTCTGGCCACAACTGCGCCAGTTACGATTTTCCCTAGTCCGTTTCCTCGAGTATGCTTTGACCAAGCGAGATCTATTCAGGTCGCTTACAATAATTTGTATGCATCTATTGCTCAAGACGAGACTTTCCTGGAGGAGATAGTTCAAGAGTAAGATGTCATGAAGTTTATAGAATGATGTTGAATGTGGCTAATAGGATGTAGAATTCTGGAGGTCGATGAATTCATTGCTGAATTATGGAAAGTCCATCTGAAAGTCAAGGAGGAAGGATATTCACAGGTAAACATGGGATCGTCATACGTTAAGATTTGAACTAATTACCGTTTTGAAAGAGCATCTCGTTGGGCTTGTTCAGGTCTGACTACATGGTTCATCAAGCCACCGATGACACGCAACCTGTGATCAAGCAAGTGGAGTTTAACACTATCGCATCTTCGTTCGGTGGCCTGTCCCTCCAGACATCTAAACTTCACAAGTAATGACGCTTTCCGTCATGTTGTCTTCCACTAATTGGAATACCAGATATCTTTCCTCGATCAGTTATCCACTTCTCCAACAACCTCTAAATCTTGGGGAAGAACTACCTCATAACTCCAGCACGAGCTCATTAGCGTCTGGTATACGGACTGCATTTGAGGCCTATTCAAAAGGCAAAACTCCGCATAAGTGTTGTGTTCTCTTCATAGTACAAGACCCAGAAAGAAACATTTTTGACCAGCGACACCTTGAATATGAAGTTCAGCAAAACGGCTCACCTATCCCCGTCTTCCGACTACCATATTCCCAAATCGCCGCCCAAACATCCCTAGCATCCACTCCTCTCCGCCAACTCCTATTCCACCCACCGAACAACCCATCCCAAACCTTCGAAGCAGCAGTCGTATACTTCCGCGCCGGCTACGGACCCTCTGACTACCCCGACGCTTCCGCCTGGGAAGCACGCTACCAAATCGAACGCTCCCACGCCATCAAATGCCCCAGCATCCTCACCCAACTCGCCGGCGCCAAAAAGGTCCAACAAGTCCTCGCCACACCCGATGACTCCTCAAACCCCTCCATCCTCTCCCGCTTCATGACCACCTCCCCCTCAGAAACCACCGTCCTCTCAAAAACATTCACAAACATCTTCCCCCTAGACACCACACCCTCCGGTCTCCACGCCCGCAAAATAGCTCTCGACCCCGAACTCTGCAAAGGCTACGTCCTCAAACCGCAACGCGAGGGCGGCGGAAACAACATCTACCGCACAGCTATCCCGCCATTCCTCAACTCGCTCCCTGAAACGCACTGGAAATCGTATATCCTGATGGAAATCATCACGCCGCCACCCGTTCACAATACCATTCTGCGTAACGGGTTGGTGGAGAAAGGAGGTGTGATTTGTGAGTTGGGGATTTATGGGACGTGTTTGTGGGATTGCAATACCAAGGAGATTCTGCATAATGAGGAGGCGGGGTATCTTTTGAGGACGAAGGGGGATAAGAGTGAGGAAGGTGGTGTTGCTGCCGGGTTTGGGAGTATGGATAGTGTGAGGCTTGTTTGATGGTGGTTGAGGAGGGGGTTGAAACCTTTGTTAGTCTGCTTCGTTGGAATGATTGCGAAAATACCTGAGTAGCTTTGGTGCTGCTAGTCTATCCTCCTAAACAAGTATTAGTATCCTAGCTTCTCCTCTGCTGCAGTCCCCATGCTGTAGACCCATTCAACAACTCCAATGCAGAAATTAAGAACGTATTGTCGGGCGTGACGAGCTTCACAGATAGAGAGGTGGTACATACAAATAGCGCCGTCCCATAAAACACATGTTTATTTGAAGCACATGTTTATTTGAAGCACATGTTTATTTGAAGCACATGTTTATTTGAAGCACATGTTTATTTGAAGCACATGTTTATTTGAAGCACACAGTATGGTAACAATGGCCCAGTTTACAAACTGTTGGATTTTGCTGCTATCATTACGAATTTCGCAGTCAGTCCCACATATAGAGAGACCTTTCCTTTACCACTAGGAAAGTAGTTGCGCCATTATACACCCAATCTATCCGTCACAGCCGATCGACCAGAAGAAACGATGAGAAGAGTTGGTTCTGCATTAATTCGAAAATAAGACATTTCAATATCGCTGTCCATCCCAGCCCAAGCCTACAAATATGTGAAATTCGATTTCATACATGATCCAGGAACGTAACGCCGGGGTGATCCTCTTATTTTACAAAGGAAAGTGAGGTGTTGTACGGGTATTCCTTCTCGTGGTGTTGTACAATATAAAGTAAATTACTGCGATGCACCATCTTGTGCTTTTCTTGAGCTGAGAACCTCGAATTTTTCTACCTCTGGTCAGTACATGAGATCATGGTCGGGTAGTTGGTACTCACGTTGCACAATGTTCAGTGATTGTTTCTTGTTCCCCTCGGCATCCTCGTAGTTGGAGAAAGACACTTCTCCTTCGACGTATACCATAGTCCTGAAGACAAACAAAGTTAGCTCTGAATTATCTTCCCAAAAAATCTGACACTATAAGCTCTCTGATGCATGCCCTGCTTCCCCACCTCCGTGACGTCTAAAAACCAAGCAAAGATCTACATACCCTTTATCCAAGGTGGTGATGAAATCTCTGAACGACCCTTCGGGTAAAAAGCCAGTGACCTTAAAGAAGTTGGATTTCTGGTTATCGCGAGGCCCCGAGTTTGTGGCAACAGCGTATCTGAGAATTTCCCTGCCTGTGCTAGTCGCCTGCAATTCCGGTGTATCTGCCAATCTGCCGACAATAGTCATTTTCGCGAACGAGTTTCGTGTTGCTGAGGTCGAGAAGGAGCGGGCGCTGGCGGTCAACGCGCGACGAGCAAGAAACGACGACATCTTTGCAATCTCGGAAAGGTATTTGGTTTCGATAGATGTTCGAGCTGAAGGTTAATCCGAAGAATCGATTGATGCGTGTTACGTGATGGCTCAGATGGTGGTTGTCTTGTAGTAGTTCGCGGCGCACACTTGGAGATAATTGTAGCTGGTCTTCGCGTTTGGTCGTCAGATAGGGGTTGGAGTTAGCGACGCCAAATGCCGCCTTGGCATAATGACTTTCTCACGTGATATGAATTAAACTTGTGCGACTGCCTCCATTTACGAGTAGCGACAGACAATTGGCAATCAATCAACACACGATAATCGTCCGATATTTCGTCAATTGATTTGAACACCCAATGGGATTTCCTCAACTGAGTTGAGTAATCACGCGGATTCGTGAATTGTCTTCAGCAAATACCTAGGTACTTTATGGTGTGGACTGCCACCTGTCTGTTCACCGAGTCTGGAAAGGATTGATTCCTCCATCCATGGATGTTCAACAAACAAACGCAATCCGAATAAGCCTTCAAGTTTCACATTTTTCTATCCTTTGATGCCCAGGTACCCGGTATACACACAGTCGACTTTTCAAAACAACCTTTTCATTTCTCAATGACGGAAATCGGAATGCGGAGAGTCATGGACGAGCAGGCGGGGAACTTCAATGACGAAGATCTTGGGCACACATAGCACAAGAGCTGTCAGATGGCCCAAAACCTGGAGAAGTTCTCGACACGGCATCAAGCTGATGCAGTGTCTCAATTCCCCATACCCAACATTTCACGAGAATATCTACGCGAATTTCTTGTGGTTCGATTTGATTTCCTGCAAGTTTGCCATATCAAGTGGCCATCTGCATGCTGTTGCACCACGCGAATGGACCGATAACCAAGGTGGAGGAAAGAGATTCGAAGATTGGGCCTCCTGAGTTCCTCCCACATTATCTTGGTGCGATGCGAACGTTATCGTGTGATATTCTGGATGTTTACACCACCGTCTGCCAGATTGCTTGTGTCGCTCGACTCTTCCATCGACGTCAAGCGGGATACGATACACCTGGACACATTATTACAACCAACGTCAGAGAAGGAAAAGCTTGGAGCACTCAGATCATACACGTCCACCACCAGAGTCGACGTGTTTTTCGGACTTTCCAGACGCGTCCTCCAACACGCCAAGAAGAGCGGAAGATTGTCAGCTCAGGGATGGATTTGGTTGGCTCAGGGCAGGTCAAAGTTGCATCCACGTTGGCGGATATGCTAGGCCGTACAGGACCAGCGTTCCCGGTACCTGACATCAACAGACGGGCTAAACTCCCTCTCCCCCCTGAAAGTTGAAATTGCATCCGCTGTATCCCCAGAGTCAGCGTCAGACGACTCGACCAGGACGAGGAACAACATGTCCATGTCCCAACATGTTTTTGCTTGCTTCGCCTCCGAGCTCCCGAAAGATTACTGCCCCTGCTCGGATCGCAAAGCGTCAAACATCAGATCGCAAGCTCCACCCACGGCACACAGACAGGAGTTCAAAAGTTCAGAACACGGTCTGTTCACGCCACGAGAATCATGCGCTTCTAAATACGGATCAATGCCGTTAGCCATCTGGAACAAACAAGATCTAACTGAGAAAGAAGAAAAGAGGTTTCCTCCTCACAGCCTCTCTATCGATTATGCAAAAAAGCAGTCTTCGTATCATTTATAGAAGACCAATCTGAGCTACGCAATCATCCACCATGCAGCCAGGTTCATCTCGCTTAGCTGTTGTAATTCCCCTTTGCACCATCACCCCACTCGAGCAAACTGTGCGAAGCGATACACAACTCCCAATACATCACCATCGTGAGGAGGCCACAAGGGCGGTACGCCGGTACTCGTTGTGCTGGCCTTTCAGGGCTGCGTCGTCTTGATTACAGCAGCTCTCTCGTATTGGCTTGGAGTCGAGCAGTTTCCAAGATCGCGTATCAGCTTGCCTGACCCCCGATGGTCCCATACGTCCACGATTCCTACGTCGTCCATTTGCGGTTGTTCACATTTTCTTCTTACCCCCATCCAATAGTTCAAGGTGTTTGCAAACATGTCTTTTCGCGTTGCAGGCGCCAGAAGGCCACACAGCTTGGTTGTAACAGACAAAAGGGATACCTGTGGCCTACTTTACTGTTCGGTGCCTTATCCACCAACGATACCAAGCCGCTGAGCTGGACATTCGGATGGAAGTTCATTTCACCAAGTAGTTCTTGGACCTGGAACTATACAAAACGGCAGGTTGACGCCTCGACATCGCTTTGGCTGGTTCTGAAAAGTTATATCCAAACGTTGCCGCGGCTATCTGACTGGCCACGAACCACGCGGAGATCCTCCCGCCTGAAGACTCATTGCAATCTCTTTCGGAATATTTCAAGCCTCCGTCAAGACAAATACTGAAAAGTCTTTCTCCGAAGCCGCAATAATGTAAAGTAATCCTGGCCTTTTGCTCTGCTTCACAGTCGAGCTTTGACAATTTTTTCCATCTCATTTCTCCACTACCTGTTCTGATTCGTCAATTCTAGAATAAGTTTTTAAACCTTGTATCGCCCGTTGCCGATCTGGAACCCATCACATCACAAGTATTCCAGGGGGTCATTTCACCCAAGACCTTGTTGGCCCGCCCGCAAATATCATCAACCTCACTCATCGTTCTTTGCTGCTTCACGTTCGTTTTGTATACTCGCTAGGAGTAACGTAGCGGGGCCTGCTCCAATGCTGCGCACTCTTTAGACCGCAGTATCCTCGACCTTCCTTTCCTCTTTCTTGCGACGACTTTCGCCCTTATACACATACTACTAATAATTGTCCGGTCGTTAAGAAATCTGGAAGACATCCGTCCTCAAGATGGTTCTAGCTACTCGGTCGCAACTGTTGGCGATATTGTTGCTCTGCTTTTGCATCAATATATCAATTGCTGACAGATGGGGAGGTCATATTCAAAGGCGTGATGGGCCTACAACTCCATCAATTACAGGAGCCGAAACCACGGCGAACACACCCTCGACGGTATCACAAACGCAGTCCAAGCAGACAACACAGGCAGAAGACCAGAGTGTAGCAAGTGAAGATATCAGATCTTCAACCACTAGCTCTAGATCTGAGCAGGCCGCTAAGTCGACCACCACACTCATTACAAGCTCGTCGTCGAGCCCAACTATGACTCCATCTTCTCCTGCAGGAGAAGTGGCAACAGCGACACTTAATGCTAATGCAATTTCAAGTGCCGTATACGATGGCCCATTTAATTGTAAGGATTCTGGCGATGGTTCTGCCATGACGGCCGCTAATCTTTACTAGCAACGATTACTCCAGGACTTCTCCCTATTACACCACGCATCACTCCAGGTTTCGGCATCGTAGGCATCATAATGATGCTTAGTGGAGCCGTTTACACCGTTGTTGGAATTAAAAACAAGCTCCTCCATATCTACCTTTCAGCCGCCTACCTATCCAGCCTGTCGATTGTGGTTCTCATCTTATACGTGATGAATCTACCAGTTACCGATGCGGTACAGGGTGCATATGTGGTGGCGGCTGTCATGACGGGGTTGATTCTTGGAGGTGGTGCACTAGTTTTCCCAGAGCTCACGGAAGGCCTGGCCTGTTTACTTGGGGGGTTCTGCGTCAGCATGTGGCTATTGGTACTGAAGCCTGGCGGTTTACTAACTTCTACCACTACGAAAGCGATATTCATTGCGGCCTTTACTGTGGCTGGTTTTTCCACTTCGTTCAGCCATTACACTCGACCCTATGGATTGATTGGTGGTATCTCATTTGGAGGCGCTACTGTGCTTGTTCTCGGGATTGATTGTTACTCGCTCGCGGGTCTCAAGGAGTTTTGGGCATATCTTTGGGCTCTCAACGATAATCTTTTTCCCCTCGGAGCAACCACTTATCCATTGACTAGAGGAATCAAAGTTGAGATTGCAGCCATTATCGTTATTAGCATCGTGGGTATTCTGTCACAGATGAAACTGTGGAAGATAATCAGGGATCGCCGGGACAAACGAACTACGGAAAGACTTGAAGATGAGCGCAGCGTGGAGAGAGAGGAAGAGAACGTCGGGAAAAGGATTGAAAATCTCAACGCCCGGGAGAGGAATCAATGGGAGAATGTCTACGGTGACAAAGATCGAGCACCGCGACTAAGCGTCACATCTCAAAGAGATTCTGGAGTCGGAGATATGGACAGTCAAAAGAAAGGTCCCACGAGCACAGTGGTGTCGGTCGCCCGATCTGGAGAGGATGACATTGAGATGTCTGACATCCCCACGCAGGTCCCCTGGAAGCCAACTGGGCTCGTAATGTCGGACCGTTCCCACGAGAATGGCCCAGTCACCATTCGAGTTTCCCGAGATATTGGCCCTGAGCCTAACAACGAGAACAGCGAGCCTTCAACAGAAGGTACAAACGAGAAACGACAAAGTCATATGTCTCTAGCGCCCCAACCTGACGAAGCACGAGCAGACGGCCTGTCGTCGAAGCGACATTCAAATCGATCATCAAATCCGCCACTTTCTGTTCGCGTATCTATGGCACCCGACGTTGTACCGCTGCCGTTTAGAGTTCCAGAAGGAGTCGAGGATGACGATAGATCATCTATTGCTACTTTTGCTGACGAGGAACGTGAAGGGCAGAAGCCACGATACTTAAAACACATGTCAGCAGGCTCAGCACTAATTCGCAGGCTCTCTGACAGATCCATGATGAGCGGTTCACCTAGGAGTTCTAAGAGATTCTCTATCAACGATGGACCCAGTACAGAGGATCTTGTCGTACCCCACGAAATCGATGAAGATGGGAGGAGCTCAGTGGCCGCAACTCTGGATGGACTAAGCGACGAGGACGAGAGGAGTATCCGTTCCTCGATGGGTCACGCACATGGAATCTACGAGACCACAGCATCCGAAGTTGGAATAAGCGGTAAGGGAGACAAGCTAAAGGAAGCAAATTTGAGCCAGCAAAGCGCTGTGGTGGTAGATGCCAAGGACATGTCAGATCCAAATTTTGATTCCAGCAAACTCCAACCTCAATCGCCTCGGGACGATAATTCAGAGGCTGTCGCGCTAAGTGACGCGAAACGACCCAGGACAGCTCGTTCCGTTGCGTCGGCAGCGACAAGTTCTAAATCAAGACCGCCTAGTTTTACGGCAGCCCAACTCCCACCCCAACTTTCCAAGGTCGTTATGTCCTATCGAACCAACGAATGGGCGAAACACCTCAGCAACGCCGAGGTACCTGACTTGGAAGAACTGAAGATTGAGGAGCCTGTCGGGAACGAACAGGCCGAAGCAGCAGCACCTGTTGACGTTGAGGATTTGCAGCAGTCAGCTTCATCTGCTGCGAAGCCTGCACCCCTCATTCGGTCTAATACTTCAGGCTCGAAAGCAAGTGTTTCGCCATACGCTACACTAGCCGACTCGTCTCCTGGATTGCCTGGACTACCGAATACGCCAACATACAGCACATCAATACAGTCTCCACCAACGAATGCCAAAGGAAGACTATCCAGCGGACCAAGCCTGCCTCGTTCCATCGCCGAGTCGCCCGTCGAGGATAGTTTCTCTGCTCCCACTACTCCAGCGTTCTACCAGGCGCCTGCTGCAAACATTCCATATGGGAGCACAAACACGCTGATGGGCCGTCGCGAATCCATGGTTCGCAACAAGTCCTTTTTCGGCTCTACGCCTGATCTTCCTCGTAATCTCCCTCCACAAGCTCATCAGAATCTTCCACCTCAGGCGCGAAATTTCAAGAGCATGCCAGGAACTCGTGTTGGCAGTGATGCAGGTTCTATCTACAATGGTCGTAACAGCATGAGCAACCCTGCACTAAACGAGCTGGACACTGACAATATCTCCCTTTCTCAACGTCGAGACATGATTCGTCAATCCTCCCTCCATGGAGCTGCCTCACCCATGATACACAATGCACCACCGAACTTCGACTCTCATCAACCGCAGCGGCAAACATCTGTTCCCACATTGGCTGCCAGAGAGCAACAACTGGCTTCGTGGCGAGCGAGCGTGCAGCAAGATCTAGGAAGTACTCATGTACCGCAAACCAACATTGAGCGGCAGCGAAGCTTGCTCTGGCAAGAACGACAAGCAGAGGAACAGAGACGAGCAATGGATGCCATGATGAAAGGTCAGAAAGATTCAGCTTTTGACGAGCGAATGAGGAGGGGCGATATGCTTGTGGCTCACAGGGACGCTCTGAGGAGAATGCAGGCTGCGGCTAATAAAAATGCTTGACCGCGTCTGATTCTTTTGTTCATTATTTAATATTTGATTCTTTGGGGGCAACTGGCGTTGCGAACATAGAGCGGCTTTGGTCAGTGGTCGGATTTTTTGTATATACCCGGTTGGCAAGATGGTAGGCTGCAAGGCTGGTTTGAGGCAGGCCGTACTTGCTCAGTTGCGATTGTGTGGTTCAGGGGAACAAGACGGACTATCTTGTTTGTATTCAGGCGATGACGTCTAATCGGGTTGTTTCGAAAGGGGAAATCGGATTATCAGTGAGTATTCTAGTCAGCGGGGTGCCATGAAATGGAATACAGTATACTTTATTACAAGTCTCAATGAGATATGGAAAACAATAGCGTCTCCCAATCTGTAGCCGATGTCATAGCAGAGTCTGCAGTAAAGAAACACGGGGCCTGACTAATAACGGATCATACATCTTATTAACACATCCCCACTTGGTTCGGGACCTCTACGCGGACATGTTAAACTTCCTTTTACATCGCCTTGGCACATTCATTTAAAACTCGACTTTTCCTCTCAGCTGTACTATTGTGATTAAGACTATGTTAAGGGCCTTGTTTATTCTCTTCGGAAGAATAAATACCACTTTACTGTCATTTATCATCTGATGTGTTCGACGTTGTTTGGCCTTCGGCGCTGTGAAAGGAAATTTAATGCGTCGTCGCAGAGATAGCATGTACGACCAATAGGAGAATCAAGTATAAGCAACCAGTAGAAATGATCTGTATTAAATCAAGCCCTGCAGAAAGCCCTTTTGTCAAAGAAGGTGGGGGGGGGGGGGGGGGGGGCGGGGCGCGAGTA